AGTTTTCCTATATCTTGAAACATTTTGGTATTTCATTTTCCTGGGTATTATTTCATCATTACTCATTAGTTATTCCCAAGTATGCCAAAAAAGACTAAAATAATAAGAAAATGGAAGGATGATGGAATTGCCTAGAAGGATGATGCAGTAGTAAAATAAATCATCACTATTACAGTTCAGTTTTCTTACTGCCTTGCCCAAAGCATTACAGCATCTTTCAAGAAAGTATAAAAGAAGTTGGGAGATAACCATCTTAAACATTATGTAAGATGTTAACATTTGGGAAATCTGGATAAAGATTATATTACAGTTTTTCATACTGTCATAACTTTTTAGAGCTTTCATTGAACATATTTGATAATTCATAATTTTTCATTTTCCTATAATAGCAAAGAGAAGAAAACTAAGAGAGGAAGACATTTCATAATTATTAGAGGAACTAGTAGATGAATGTAGTGCAGTAGATAGCAGCACTCTAGACTAATGATGTTGGTAAAAGTGATTGTGTAAGCCAAGTTACAGGCTTTGAGTCTTCAGATGACAATAGCCTAGATGAATTTTCTCAAACTGAAGAATTTATGAATGCACAATATATTTGAGGGAAAAAATAAGGAATGATGTCCTTGTATTTCCTCATGAATGACTCATCCAGGTAATCATTCAATGAGGACTTTAGAATGCAATATTTTCAACAAGAATCAAAATCATTCCAGTTTGCTGAAAGGATATACAATAGTATTCTTTCATCTTTTAAGATATTTGTGTAGCACAACTTAATTGGTATGGTTTTAAGTGTACACAGGTGTGTGTACAGAGGCACTTGGAAGGAAATATAATGTAGAAATAAAATTATTGGATTGTTTCAATTGGTATTAGTCTAAAACTGAGAATATTTGCAGTTATGGAGCAAAGAAGATGGCTGTCCTCTTTTTTACCAAATTAAGAACTGAGTTTTCAAACCATTGTGCTTGATGATATAAGGGCAAAAAAGAAAGGAAGGAAAGAAGGAAGGAAACCCAAAAACGATAAGATAGAACTTTAATAGAGATGTACCTGAAATCTGGAATCAAAATTTACAAAATCACTATGTTCCAAGTTCATGCATCCCAGTTAAAGACCAGTCGGTTGCATTTTAATGGTTATTGCCTATTTAAGGTATTTATAGCTTCAAAATCAGGAAAACATGAAATAATAAAATTTGGATTTGTTTAAATTTTTACTAAAATTTTTAATAGTTTTTTCACCCAAATGGTAAGTGATAATGATGTTTATTTGGCATACTGAAGGTAAAAGATGAATCACATGTCATAAAGAAATCAGTGATATCTTTTGTATAACCAAGATGATTGTTCTAAGCTACCTTGGTAAAAATTGTCACACTACAGTATCACATAATTTCACCAAAGCTCACAAAAGGTATATACCAAATGGAGTTACCATTATATTAGATCAGGGTTTCTCAGCCTTGGCACTATTAATATTTTGGGCTGAATAGTTCTTTGTTGTAGGGGACTGTTCTGTGCACTGTAGGATGTTTGGCAACATCCCTGATCTCTATTCATGAAATGCCAGTAGCGTCTCTCTTCCCCTAATTATGACAAAAATGTCTTCTGACATTGCCAAATGTGCCTCGGGGTTGGGCGGGGGTGGGGGGCACACAAGATCTTCTGTGGGTGAGGACCACCTCATTAGAAGGATATAAAAATGATTTTAGGGGAGGCTTGGGTTTTATATCTTGTGGTGTTTTGAGAAGACAATTTTATTGAACTGTTATTCTATGTAATATGGGAAATGTAAATAGATTGCCTTTTTAACTTACTCTGGAATACTTTTCATTTCCTAGCAGAGTTAGATCCAGAGTGGAGTTTTGGACAGGTTTTGAAGAAGACTATGACGGGCACTTGCAGTGGGTTGAAGTAATTACATTCACTTAATACTTTGATTAAAAAAAGAAAATTTAGCTTTTAAAGAGAAACTTTCCATTTTTTCAAGAGTATTCATTTAAGTAAACTGACTAGGACACATTTTATGTGATTTTATATGATGCTGACCATCAATAAAAGAATAATTTCAGAGAATTTTTTTATTATATAAATAAAAGAACTTTAAAATGTCTAGTTCAAGATGATTTCAATACGGAATCAAGAGGCACAAAAGGGTCAACCATAAATTAAATTATTTCAAAAAGAAAGTACAGTATTGTATACCTAAAAGCGTCCAGAATAGGATAGTTTGTTTTGTACACTTATTTCTCTGAGTTTATCTTGATAGGAATAATTCTGTTGTCTCCATTTAAACCAATTTGTGAAATTTAATCTAAATGAAAACATAAGATTCTTTAAAGTTGGAGTTTCTGTTTGGATTTTAATCATGGAGAAATGTTTTGATTTTTAGGAGGCAAACTCTTTATTAAAGACATTTTAGATTGTAGAATTAGAAAATTGGTTTTTATTTTTCTTACTCTGGCATGGTTAGCTTTTACCTTCTAACTTTTGTCTGAAGTCTGTCACATTTGTTCCCCAGTTCTACCCCATTCCAAAAGACTCCCCTGCATTATCAGAATTTCTCTGCTCTGCTCGCTTTATTTGGGCATTATGATTCCTTTCCATGATGATTTGGAGCTGTTCTCATTTTTTATTATCACACAAGGCCAGGTGACTTTTTTGTGTTCTGCTGACATTGTTCACATTAGTCCTTTTCACTAGTCATCATCCCTCAAAATCTAAGTGCTTTTTAAAAAAAAAAAAAAAATTCTCTTCATAGACAGGAGTTCTGTTAACAGTGTAAGCTCCAAATCTGAAAACAGTTGGAGACCATAGTGGCACGTAAAAATCATGTCAGCTGAAGCAGTGCTGGAAAGTAGCTTTGTGTCTGACTTGTGGCTCCATCATTTGGTATTTGAATACTTTATAGTCTGGAGTTAACGTTGTGCCTTTCTGCAAGCAGGATTCTATAGTTTGTCCATTATTCTACTCCAGATTGGCCATGTATGCCAATGAGAAAGTTTAGCCTTGTGTTCCTTCAGCCAGCTATGTGACCTTCAAGTTACTTAATTTGAGTATCAGTTTCCCATCTGACAGGATTGTCGTGAGGAGCATATCAACTGATAGCAGTGATCTTTTTAACAGATCAGGAAACAGGACCAAAGTTGTATGGCTTCCTGTCAGTTTGAACTAGAATCCAGATCTTAACAGGTACTTTAATCTTCTTTTCATAGTCCTATGCTGTGCTCTTCTGATCGAAATTTGGTTTTCCATTTATGAAGTATTGGCTTTTGGTTACAGAGATTAATCTCAGGTAGAGTTGAAGCATCTGGGTTTCAAACCAGCAGAACCCAAGACCAAACAATGGTCTAGATCATTGGTGTACATAGAAGTGGCAGTGGAAACGTCTTTAAGACTTTTTACCCTGTCCATTTATTAGACCTATTTCCTCATCCCAAAATAATAGGTTGAGGTTGCATGTTCATAGTCAATTGACTGGTGGCCCTTAAGTACTAATAGCATGGGTAAATCTATATTTCCAACATATTACTATGTCTGAAAAGTTTTGAAATATTTAGCTAAACATACTGCTTATTACAAAAGCTTAAGAAAACAACCATTGAAGACATTGAAATTATTTCCCCTCAGCAGCTGTCAGCACTATTTCAATTTTAGTTAACTGAGTTCAACAAATTGTCACGCATGAATTTAGGAGACTTAATCCTTAGATCTAAAGTTAGGGACAACAGAAAGAGGTTATCTGTAGTTTGAGATTTACAAAAAAGTATTAAAAGTGGACGGCTTGCAAAAGAAAACAGTTGCGCTGCTGTGTCAGGGTTCACTTAGGTTTGTGAGGTATGAGAAAAAACCGAGACACTGTTTCAAGACGAAGGATTAGAGCAAGGCAGGGTGAGCTTGATGATGAGGACAGAGAAGAGGTGAAGAGGCCTTGGGGAATCCTTGTGAGGACAGCTTCACCTTCAGGGCTTGCATGCTCCCAGGGAATGAGGAGAAGAGGGATGGGTGACTTAGAAATTAGGTAAAGCCTTTTTTTTTTTTTTCTTTCCGTTTACAAAAAGCTTTGCTGCACATGGAGGGGAAATGGCTTGTGAGATCTCATATTACTGTATTTTTTATCTTCTTACCACAGGAGTGGTATCTTTTTAAAGATTTTTTTTTTGTGACTGAAAAGGTGGTAAGACTTGGCCCCGTTTTGTCTTCAGATGGCTGGAACATTCTTATTGATATGCTTGTGTTACTATTGGTGTTGGAATACCTCTGAAAAGACTCAACTGGATTCTTAGCCGGTAGTACTAGACTTTTCGTGTCTTGCAGGAAACAAAGTGACCCCCACAGAGGAATTATTGACCTAAAGGATTCTGGAATTTCCTTAGTGCTCAAAAATGTTAGAGTCAGAAGAAGCCTTAGAAATTATCTGTTCCAACTTTCTTATTTTATAGTTGGAGAAATAAACTCACATGGTTTGAGGAACTTGTTGAAATGTACACAGCTTCTTAAATGGGCAAGTTTAGAACCGTTGTCCTCTTACTCCTCACCCATTGCTCTTTCCATGATACTGTTTAATTGTTGAAGCAGTTGATATTTTAAAAACTAGACGATTATAGTTCTAGGTTTTGAGAGGAATTAGGAAGAAGCACTTGAGTAGCATGTGACTATATAATTAATATTTAGGAATGATGGCATTTGAGAGAAAACTGGAGAATAAAGAAAGGTGTATTTGTGTGTTTTTTAAATTGGAGGTTATTTTTCAACTTTGCAGTGCCAGATTAAACTGTTATTATTTAAATTTTGCCTTTCAGGTATGATAGCCTGTCCACTGTGGGGTGTGTGTGCACAAGAATGCATTTTACATTACCCAGTGGTCATCTCTAGGATGAAGTAGATAATTAGTTCTGGGAGTTGAGTTTGTACTAAATTTGGGCAACTGATCCTAAGTTGTGCACATCTTACCAGAGCACGAATTGGTTTGCATATTGTTGCTCGTGGTTTCTGCAGGTTTTGTAGTGCATCCCTGAGCATGAGCGCAGAATGAAGCGACGTTTGGATGACCAGGAGTCACCGGTGTATGCGGCCCAGCAGCGTCGGATCCCTGGTAGCACAGAGGCTTTTCCTCACCAGCACCGGGTTCTTGCCCCTGCCCCTCCCGTGTATGAAGCCGTGTCCGAGACAATGCAGTCAGCCACGGGAATTCAGTACTCTGTCACACCCAGCTATCAGGTAAGCTAGGGCTAACCAAAGGACTAGACATGAAGAGCGAGCATTGGTGGTTTCATCCATTTAAAAGATTTTTATTGAGCACTCAGTTAGATATAAGAAATGTTTATGGGATATATGTAAGGTATACAAAATAATGAAAACAATCTACACTTGTGTACTTACCACATAAGTTTTTAAAAAAAGAATGTCATGACTTTTGACATTCACTGTGCATTCCTCCCTCATCCCTTGAACTTTTCCCCCTCCCTTCAGAGGTAGCCACTAATTAGAACTTTGTGTTTATCATTTCCTTGACTTTTTTATTTTTTAAAGTCATTTTGTTTATACCTCTAGACAGTAAAATTGTTTAGTTTGGGTATTTTTGAACTTTTATATAAATGAAAATATAGTTTCTTCTTTAACTCACTTTTTTTACTCAGTGTAGTTCCTAAAACTTAGCCATGTTTTTGTGTGTAACTGAGTCATTTTTACTATTATGAATTATATGATTATATCCGATTTATTTATTCTTCTGTCGATGGACAATCTGTTTCCAGACCTATGCTATTATAAAAATGCTACTGTGAACATTCGTAGGTGGTTCTCAGCATAGCGGTACTCACAGTGGCAATCCATGACAAAATAAAATTCACCAGAATTTAAATGAATGCACTGCTTTTATCAAGAGTCTTGCTATGGTGGGAAAGAGGCAGCTGAAGTAAACGGGATGGTTATTAGTGAAGTAGTTGGTTTACATTCTGGTGCATACTCCTTTTCTTCTTGCAGACCACTCAGTAGGTTTAAGTGCATATAAAGAAGAGTTACTCCAGTATCTGGGAATTGCTCGGACACAGGGTGTGCACATCTTCACCTTAGCAGCTGATGTCAAATTGTTTTTGAAAGTTGTATCAATTTATATTTCCACCAGCAGATATTCCTATCATTCCACACTGATTATTCATTTCTTGTCTGTTCACTCTATTTTGTAAAAATGGAAGAAATTTAAATTTTTTTGCCCTTTTTAATTATGAAAGTAAATATCACCATTTTAAAAAAATGATAGAAGATTACTTTTTCCTCTGAACGCCTAGCTAGACCTTATCCCACTGGTACATTTCTTGGATATCTAAAATTTTAATGTATATACAAGCACATATATGTTTACCTGCCTAGCTACCTAGATACACTTCTCTTTTTACACAGTTTGGATCATATAGTATATACTATTCTGCTATTTGCTCTTTTTATCTAACATATAGTAGACAGCTTTCCACTTGAATATATATGTATAGATCCAAATACTTTTTAAAAAATCACTGCATTTATAATATTCCAGTCCAGGTCATTCTGAACAATAATTTATTTAAATGGTTTGCAGAGGTCTTCTTCAACCTAACTTCTTAGTGACTTTTAATATATGACTGTTACTGGGAATATAAATTGGTATAATTTTTCTTGAGAGCAATTTTATAGTTTGTGTAAAATTATTTAGTTATAAGAAAACAATCAAGAAGCAAACCAGGTAAAGTAGGATATGGTGATTCCTTAGGTGTCTTCCTCAGGAGTCCCCCTTGAAGGCAGTATAGTGGGCCTTCATGTGGCATTTGGTGCAGCAGTCAGAGGACTGCTACAGATGAAATCTTTAAGTTAGGACTTAGAAGAAAGAAAGGTGGTTTGTTTTCCTTGGGTGATTACTTTTATGTGAACAGGTTTGTGATTGTTTCCTATATTTGGGATAAGTTACATCTTTTCATATACTGGAAACTATAATGTGTCCATACAAAACCAACCATCTCAAATAATTATAAACTCTAGTTAAGTCTTGTAAAAACCTGTCTAACATAGGCGTGTTGGAATTAGAAACTCAGAATAATAACCCTTCTTATGAGACATATATCAGAGCTTTTAGAATTGTCTAGTTTCTTTTTACTCTTAATGTGTACTGTATTATTTCTGTGGATTTGTAAGTAGTTGCTCTATTTCCCACCCTCCCCTCTGCCCAGGGTGATCTTTATAAATTTGTGAGAACTTGAAAAAGTATTCTCTCAAGTTGTAGTACACAACTTACATTGTTTAGAGAAAATGTAAATTATTTACTCTCCCTATTTTGGAGGTGTGGCATATCAGGTATATATGTCTTTAGTTGTCTTCTGTAGTGGTTAACAGTTCTGAAATAGGAAAATTTTATATAACATTTCTTACAATACAAATGGAGGAAAGGGGCTTGTACTTTTATGTCACCCTTAAACTTATAAGAAGATGAGAGAGAGAGAGAGAGAGAAAGAATATGAATGAAAGAACAGAAAAGATATGTTTGAGGTCAAACCACCAACAATTTGGAAGAAATTTTTGTTTTACTTTAGAAGTGGCAAATGAGGATAAACAAAATAAACAAAAAGTAAAAATCTTCTCCAGCCCTACCTCCACAAGAGAAAATGCTAACATTTTGATATATTGTATGTTTGTTGTCTGGTATTTAAAATCTTTTTATTGTATTATATGTACTGTTTTTATAATGTGCTTTTAAAATTATTTAAAAGTTTAAATTCATATGCCACACTTATGCATTCAACTTATGGATTGTGAACATTTTTTAATGTTAAAATACATGCATCTCTATCAGTGCTTTTCAAAATGTGGTTCACAGAGAGCTGATGTGTATAGTTTCTTACTAACCTGTAATAAAGTGAGTATAGAAATTGAGTGTTTAGAAACTTTATAGTGACTGGACATTGTAATTTTATATCTGTAAAATACAATAATGGAAATTGGGAGCTTTTGTATTTTTTATTTCATTTTCCTAGTAATTCATTTTTATTGCATTTACAAAGGTAGTGGCAATGATGGATTGGAATTTAAGAAAAATAAAACTGATGCTTAACCACAGATAATTTGAGAAGTACTGAGCTATATAATATATAACAGAATGCAGAGAATTCCGTTATAATATGGGTGGACTATAATTTATTTCACCAATCCCATCTTGTGGGAAATTTGGGTTTCTAATTAATATCTTTGTGTATGCAAGGATATGCATGCATGTTCTTTACACACATTTGGGGAAGAATGCACAAACCTTGAACTTTCTTGTATATGTTTTGTCTCCTCCAGGTTTCTGCTGTGCCACAGGGCTCTGGTGGCGGTCATGGGCCCACCATAGCAGCAGTTCATAGCAGCCATCATCATGCAACAGCTGTACAGCCCCATGGAGGCCAGGTGGTCCAAAGTCATGCTCATCCAGCCCCACCAGTTGCACCAGTGCAGGGACAGCAGCAATTTCAGAGGCTCAAGGTATAGTATTCAGCTCCTTTTCTTCCATCAAAAAGTTTGTCTCATAGCAGGCAGCATTGGCTTGGCTTGTCTATTAGTGGTGGTGGTACAACTTTTAACATACTAGACTAGGGGTTGAATCACAAGAAGTTTTACTTTTTTTTGTTTTTAAGATTTGCCATCTGAGCCTGATCTAGAAAATATATTCAAGAAACGTTTTTGGAATGTATGAATGCATGGCACTCAAATGTATCAGGATTGAGGGGCTATTTTCACATGAAATCAACAAAGTCTATTTTTTGGATGCCTCCTTTTGAACTCTTAGTTCTTAATTCTTAGCTTGGTATAGGTTTTATTGAGCATACACATGGTTGGCTACAGTCCTGTATAGTAAGTGGGCCCAGTATTATCTTATGGTTTAATCTTTTTAGTCCTGTTTATGAATAGCTGAATTGGCTGGCATCTTCAAGTCCATCCTTAGTGAAACACATGCTCCTTTTTGGGGAACCTTTATAAAGTTTAGGGAAGACTATAATTGTGAATGAAGTGTTAGTGTTTTCATCTGTTCTACTGAATATATGCCATTGGTTTTCAGTGCTTTGAAATTCATGAGGCATCTGTAGAGAAGTGAAGCTTGTGTTCTCATCTAACCTTTTTTCTCTGCTTACTTGAGTGTTATTTTTTAGAATATGTGATTGTTGTGGCAAGTGTTCCAGATTTCAGTTTTTCTAATTTTAATTTACATAAAATTTAAACTCAAGTGCAGAAAATATAAAATTAAAGAACTATAGAGAGATAAGATGTTGAATCTTTATTTGGTCCTGTCAGCTTAATTGTATCAAGTAGTTTGCAGGTAGGAATGAACAAATACCTTGGTCTTCTGTTTTCCTTGTTACTTAGTCTAGTTCTCTCTGACCCTGTCCTTCTTGGTTTGGATTCTTAGGAACTTGTTTAACATTGGCCTAAGGAAAGTAAATGATACATAAATATAAAACATACTAAAAGCTAAGCTATGTAGAGGGAGTTTGTAAAATTTACTTTTGTCTATGTTAGCTTAAGTAATTAAGAGTTGACTATATTTAAGCATAGTCTTTTAAGGGTACAAATTATTTGGACCTGAAACTTCACTCTGGGCTCTGTCTTCGGGAAAATGATATAAGCTATATTGATGTTTTCCTTACAACGTTTTTACTCTCTGCTTGTGGAGTGACATCTTTGTACCAAAATGTATTATTGCTATAACTTAGCACTTCACCAAGCCCTGAAAATATTTTTTTAGAGTTGGTTTGATGTTATTTAATTCCATATTAATACTGTATTCAGCAGTTAATACCTAAGTGTCGCAAAAGAGCTTATAAACTTGCTGTTAAACTAACAATATATTGATTTCTATAGCCTTTGTCAGCCAGCTCTATTAAAGCACGGCACCTATTTTACTCACCTTCCTCACTTGGATATAAGATTATGTTTTGTCTGTTTTACAGAAATTGCCAAGGAAGCCAGAAAGGGCTTTGGAGTTGGGGTTATAGAGTGAGTGAGTCATGGGTAGAGCTACCATTTCTTGTTCTGTTGTTTTAGTTATAAGCTCTTGAAAATGATTCCTGAACACAATAATCTGTTGCATTTCCTTTCTAATGAGGAGAGGTAAAATGCTTCCTTGTGTCTCCATGTAATTTCATTCAGTATTCCCACATTGCCTGCCATTTTTGGATCAGTCTTAAAATGCTCTGTAAGCATTTGAATCAACTTCCATAAACCATTTATATCCTATAATAAGGAAGTGTCCAGTGAAAACACATTGATTATCAAGCATTAACATTGTCTATACTTTTTTGAATAATTTGAAGCTTGTTTGGTGTAATTTAGTTATTTGTTGAATGCCAGCAGCATAGATATTTGACACATATTTAGCATGTTCTCTTTACAGTTGTTTTTGTCTCTCCAGCAAGTTTATGAACTTCGGGAGGTTAGGGACCTTAAAAATAAACACCTATTGAAGTGAGCCAGGAAAATGCATAGGCAGAGACTAAGGGTCTCCCCTAGTACTTCCTTAAATGTGTAGCTTCTCAATGACTAGTTCCAAGTGGTTTTCTAAGTTGTGGTTCCTAGAATTGTATACATGCTTTCGAACTATAGATAGTGAGGAGAATTTCCTCACTATTTTTACATGTGAGGCATCTCATTTATAATATGGGTATCAAGCTGGTTTTTTTTTTTTTTTTTTAAAGCATAGTGCTATTTTATGACACATTTTTAAACAGCGGTTTATTATGACCTATGCCTTTTCTTCCAAACATACACACATCACATATCATTCTTTTCTTCAGGTTTTTGCACTTTTTCTCTCTGCGTAATAATTATATTATACCATAGCGTGCTCTTGTTTATTTTTTTAATTTTAAGTTTTTCGTGTTTATTTTTGATAACACCTCTTTAGTCATGTGGCTGCGAATGCTATTAAAAGCTTCCAAAGTGTTTGTTCCTTCTGCAAACTTAATGAGTTTTATGTTCCATCAGCTTGCCTGTAATGAAACATTTTGATATAGAAAGTTCTGAACATGAATTAATTCATTGAATTTCAACAGAAATTGTCATGTTATTTGTAAAATACAGAAAAACCAACCATCAAATGAGTGGGTATTGATCAAGTATACAGTCTTTGCTTTAGCAACACCAGAATATTCTGATTAACTATGGCCATTATGGAAATTTGGGCAACTCTTGAAATCTCATTTAATAGTTTATTTGAACATAAATGTTCAATTTCACAATATTTATCACAGGAGTAGAGCTTATCAAATCAAATGTTTATTTTTGAAACTTCCCTGAACTTGATATTTTGTATAATTTAAAATAATCCCTGAGTATATAGGATACACCTAGTAGGTAATTCCCTTGGATGTCTCCTGAGTAACTAAAAATTAAGTTGTTCTAAATCAGACTCATAAGTTTCTAGCCCTTCAAACTATTCCTCTTTGTGAATTCCCAAGTAATTTATAATTTAGTGAATGCTCCTTCTCACTTATTTCCCGTACTCAGTCAGTCCTCAAACTCTACTACTTCCACCTCCTAAAAAGCTTTTGAATCTATCCAGTTCTTACTGTTCTTTTGGTCAGAACTATAATTCAAGCCACTATTGTTCACATGTGAGTTAGCCTTAGAGCATAACTTCCTGGTGTTCCTGCCCCTTTTCAAACTATCCTGCCCTTGCACTAATTTGTTCTCAGCACTGTAGCCAAATCGAATACACTAAAATGCAGGTGATAAAAATCTCAGTTGCTTTCTAACAAGAGTTACAAGGACTTTCAGGATCTAGGTCTTGCTTTCTCTCCTGTTGCATCTCTTGTTGCTCTTCCTACCACCATTTCTCCTCTTCACCACAAATCCTCCAGCCAAACTAAATTGGTTTCAGTTTTTAAAGTGTACCAGATGGTGTCCTGTCTAGGATTTTGCCCTGCTTCCTCTGACTTTCTCCATGGATCTTCACTTTTGCTAATTTGTATACATCCTTAGGACTCAGTTTAGACATCACTTCCTGGGAAAGCCTTTGTGCCCTTCTCCTGTGTTTTCTGAGTGTTCAGTGATTACCCACTTATCCCACTGTGTTATGATTCCCAGCTAGATTTGAATGAACTTCCGTAGAGCACAGACTGTAGCTTATTTGTCATTGACTCTGTAGTACCTCACGTTGGGCCTGTATAGCATGTTTTGGCTTTCGTAGATATTTGTGAAATGAATAAGTGAATGATATAGTAATGTGATTATTTTTCACTAATTTTTTCTCTCTAAAATTATCTGAGGTAAGGCTACATACTTTGAGTTGATTTTTATTTGAAGCTTGAGTTTTATTATTGGCATCCATACTAATTTCTAATGCTTTCATGTGTATTTGCTATATATTTCTATTTCATTTACTGTGCTCATTTTATTTAGGCCTAAATCATTTGTTTTTTCATAATTCTTGGCTTATTTTCTTTTTATGACCTGCCTCAGGTGGAGGATGCACTGTCCTATCTTGACCAGGTGAAACTGCAGTTTGGTAGTCAACCACAGGTCTACAATGATTTCCTTGACATCATGAAGGAATTTAAATCTCAGAGGTAAAAGATATATGTGATTGTACTCAAGCTTTGTGCTTGGAATGTTGGAAAGATAAAGGATGCCCCTTTTGAGAGTTTAAATTTCAGGGTCATTCTTTTGTGTATTTTGTTGGCGAAAATTATATAGGTCCTAGATCTTTGTTTTCTCCCTGTGGTAAATTTTTCTTAACTAAAATTTTTCTCAGAATGTTATCGCAGTCAGAGGAGTAGACTGGTAATGATTGGGTTACTTGTTCTTTGAATTAAGATATGCTGATATTCTGGCATGATTCACTGTTACTAGAGAGTAACTCATCTGAACAATATAGATACATGAGGATTTATACTGGTTTATCACAAGTTGCATCTTGCATCGAATTGCAGTTTTTGATATACTGTTATTGTGAATGTATATTTTATTTAATATTGTGACCAAATCTCTTTCAATATGAAACTAAATGTCTTTGGAATTTCAGAGTTCTTTGTGTCTTCTTTTTTTGGTAATATACAGGTTGATTTGTATCTGTTCTGTTTAGAGAACCTAGTGGGATGTGAATTTTTTTCTTACTAGGTTGTTTGTCAAGATTGCCACTTTTAATTTTCATTTTTTATCAGCATCGACACTCCAGGAGTGATAAGTCGTGTGTCCCAGCTGTTCAAAGGCCACCCTGACCTGATCATGGGCTTCAATACCTTCTTGCCCCCTGGCTACAAGATTGAGGTGCAAACCAATGACATGGTGAACGTGACAACTCCTGGCCAGGTCCATCAGATTCCCACCCATGGCATCCAGCCCCAGCCTCAACCACCATCCCAACATCCTTCCCAGCCTTCAGCCCAGTCAGCCCCAGCTCCTGTCCAGCCAACTCCTCAGCCCCCACCTGCCAAAGTCAGCAAGGTGAGCACCTGGAAAACTTTACATCACATGAAATGGATCCCTAGAAAGCACCCACCCTTCTTTGACATTTCTCCTTTATATAAGACTTAGATACACATATTACAGTAATTTTATCAGAGAAGATGCAGTAGTCACTTCCCTATAAAATAGTTCACATTTACATTCCACATATTTAGATAGCTATTTAAATCAAGACATCAGCAACCTGCAAGGACCTCTTGCCCCCAACTTCTGCTTATTCAACCCACAAGCATCACAACAAGTGGCAGCTTTGCATAGTAGTACTTTGACAGCAAAGGCAGAAATGGTCTGCTTATGATCAGATTATGCTACTACCTACATGGTCATCATTTTACAAAAGTTACTCCATTTACCAGCTTAGGTCATATCAAACTAAACAAAAGATCCTGTTGCTGCTGATGATGGTAATGACAGTGTGGATGTTCTTAGTCTAAAATTGCACTGTTTGATACAGAAGCCACTAGCCACATATGACTATTTAAATTTAAGTCACTTAAATAAATTCAGTTTTTCAGTTGTACTAGCTTCGTTTCACATGCTCAGTAGCCTCATGTGGCTAGTGGGTAACATACAGAACTGTGTAAATAAAGAACATTTCCATCATCTCAGAGAGTTCTGTTGGGAGAGCTGGTTTAGAAGACTTTTATATGGAGTTACTGCAATAATTAAATTGTCTTTTTTGACAATAAAGATCTGTGTAGAATGAGGTTTTTTTCTATTCTGTTATCACCTGTTGAGCTAGTGAGCTTAAAATTGCATATGAAAAATTCTTCCCTGTATCTACTTTAAAGGTTGTATTTAGAAATATTGAGACGAAAATATTTGTATTAGAACGTGTGAACCCTCTACACTTCCTACCCCTGCCCAATGTGATTTGAGTTGGGCTAAAATGGCCTGGCCAGAGTGAATAAAGTATATAAGTTGATCAGATACCTTGTTTCTCTTTAGTTTGAACTTTCTTTCCTATGTCAAACCATCTGTGTTCCTGAGGAGAATAAAGACTTTTTTTTTTTTAGCCTTCCCAACTACAAGCACATACTCCAGCCAGTCAGCAGACTCCCCCACTCCCACCATATGCATCCCCACGTTCTCCACCTGTCCAACCACATACACCAGTGACAATCTCATTGGGAACGGCCCCATCCTTGCAGAACAATCAGCCTGTGGAGTTTAATCATGCCATCAACTATGTTAATAAGATCAAGAACAGGTTCCAGGGCCAACCAGACATCTACAAAGCATTTCTGGAGATTTTGCACACGTATCAGGTAAGACAATTGCCCTTTCAACCCATCTTAAGCAGGTCACCTTCCGAAGGCATCTAGTCCGAGAAGAAGTTGAATAACAATTAACTGTGTCCACTAATTCTTACTGGAAATGAACCAGTTAGAAAGTAGCACGTGTTTGTAAAGCATTCGACTGCTTGGCTTTAATTGCCTTGTAGCGGGCAGTCAGGATTTTTAAAGTTTGCCCTGTGAAATTAATGCTTATTTATGTGGGAAGTTTAGAGGATGACTTGTGTAGTATATAGTTAATCTACAGTAGAAAAGTGGAAGGGGAAATTTCTGTTTTGTTAAATCAGTTGGTTATAGTCCTCTGAGCATTCACGTAGTAACTGCCCTAGTTTTAAAAGGAATTGTCAGCCACCATCTTCCACTCTTTTTTTCGACTTGCAGTCAAAACAGTTGCTAAGAACATAGACTTTCTTCTTAAGTGCAGCCCAAGTAGATAACATGCAGAGCTCCTATCAGACATCTCATAAAATGTGCAAAAGTGAGTCATTCAAAACAATGCCCCTCCAATATGATCTCTCTCCATTTGCAATTTATCAGAAAGAGCAGCGAAATGCCAAGGAAGCTGGAGGAAACTACACCCCAGCATTAACTGAGCAAGAGGTTTATGCCCAGGTGGCTCGTCTTTTTAAAAATCAGGAAGATCTGTTGTCAGAGTTTGGACAGTTCTTACCAGATGCCAACAGCTCTGTGGTAAGTTTTATTTAGAAGAACCATACTATTTAGAATTATTATCTTAGATAAGTTAGGAAGCTGGAATCAGAAGACTTTTTCTAAATGATACTTGCTTTGATGAGAGCATTAATCTCTTTCATGTGTCTTAATTAGCTTTTAAGCAAAACAACTGCTGAGAAGGTTGATTCTGTGAGAAATGACCATGGAGGCACTGTGAAGAAGCCCCAGTTGAACAACAAGCCACAGAGGCCCAGCCAGAATGGCTGCCAGATTCGTAGGCACTCTGGAACGGGAACCACTCCTCCAGTGAAGGTGAGAACGAGCAGCAGCTCCTCACTTTGACTTTCAGGAGCAGTTCTAATGGACAGGTACTCTAGGGTTGGTTATGTGTTCTTATCCTAAGCTTGTTGACCATCAGATCCTAAATATTTGGAGTGAGTTGGTGTATGTCACAGAAACTCAGTGCAAACCTTATCTGGCTTTGCAGAAGAATGTTAGAATACCACTAATTACTCAGGTCACTATATTTTTTTACCCCTATATTTTCTCTTGCTTTGCTATTACCTGTCATGTTTTTTTTTTGTTTGTTTTCTGCCAAGGGTTCCTTACTAATTTTTCCTTTCCAATTAGATGCCTTAAACCTGCCTTATGCTAAGAAAGTTATTAAGCTTGATATTTGTTTTAGAAATAAGTCAGTGGTCTCTGAGGTCCTCCTGTGAGCAAAGTGTATGTGCTTTGTGAGATTTTTTTGGTCTAGAGGCCTGTCCTTCCCAAAGTTCTTTTATGGGTTACCAGATCTTAATCTCTAAGGTAGGCTCTTTGGGCTATATATAGGAGAAGGAGGTCCTAAACTCCTGTTAGTGACCTGTCTGTCACATGATACTTCTTGTTAATAGTAAACGCTGCTGATCTGCCTCTGGAAAGCTAAGCCCCACTCCCTCCCTCATTTAATGTACTGCAGGTGGCCTAGGGAAAGGGCTAGATGTAGATACTAAATATTGCTTTAGTGAATTCTAAAGCAGTACATGGAAGAGAGAGGCGTGTCTGCAGAATTTAATTAAAATTAATAAAAGCTAGTTTTAGGAATTTCTAATAGAATGAGGTGACCGGTGAACAAGCAAATAACTACAAAGACTGACATGTTAGGTGGTGCTGACATTTTGGAAGAACTGTTTTTTAGTGTTTGTAATGGTTTCTCCTTTCAAAGTGAGTTGAATGTAGTAATAGTTTCCATTTCTTCACTTCGGTAAAGAGTATTATATGGGTAGTAACAATCAAGTCAGCAGATCTGCTCATCATTTGGTCTCCTCCCACACTTAATTACGCACAGCTGGAAACACGATATTGGGGGATTAGAATTCTCTGCCTATTTTCTCTTCAGGCAGTGTAAGCAATGGCTATGGCTCCTCAGCGAGTGAACTCTGGGGTGGCAAAGGTAAATGTGCTGCTTCTACCGAAGTTTGTGCTTTTCTTCCCAAATAGTTGAGGTGGCTTTTTAAAAGTAAATTCTTGCCTGACAGTTATATTGTGGCCTGTTCGTTCCCTTTGAAAGAGCAGTCTTAAATTTGTCTAGTGAATATTATTGACAAGACAGTTATTTTTCCTGTTAGGAAAACTATGCTTTTTATCATGAATTTTTAAATTGAACTATAATTAAAGGTTAAAGATTGATTTCTGTCTACTCTAGGCTGTGTACTCCAGCTCTTTTTACAAACGGCCTCTTCTGCCTCCACAGCTAGGAAGACAAGGCAGTGGCATTAGGTTCCAAATAAAGTTACTTTTGGCCCATGGAAAAAGTAAGGATATTAATTCTAATATCACAGTAATGCTGTGACCATTTGTAGAGAGTATATTTGGGGAATAGAATAATTTATGAACCTCTGGGAAAAAACTGACAGGCAAACAAATACAGAAGACGGGTGGAAATTTTATAGGGTGTAAAGCGAGTTAGTAATTTGAATTCCCTCATTTGTTGCAAATTATTAATTAGTGGTTAATGAGGGAAGCATTGAACACAGATGAAAATAAAATTCAGAAGAATTCACCCATCGAATCTTACATGTTTGTATTTTTCCTTCTTTGCAGAAGAAACCCAAACTGCTCAGCCTAAAGGATTCTTCTATAGCAGATGCCAGCAAGCATGGTGTAGGAACTGAATCATTATTTTTCGATAAGGTGAGTAAATGAACGAATTAGATTTAATATTGGCTGTTATTGCCAAAAGAACATCACTCCATCCCCAAGAAGATTTTGCTTTAGAGGCATCAAACTTGTTGGGACTTTTTACTATTTAACATAGTTTCCTAGTTGTAGGTCCTTTCAGTCTGTTAGAACTGTTAGCACAGCTGAAGAAATGGTAGTATTGTCTGCTTTGGTTTTGTGAATTAGTCTGCCACAAAATACAGCATTTTCCATGGTGAAAGATAACTTTAACAAAATGCATGGTATTAAATACTCTCACGTTGTTTGGTGCTTCCAGTTGCAGATGTCTTGTACAGTGGGGGAGTATATGCACCAGTTGTTGAGGACTTAAGATGACTTGGAATCTTCTAATTGTTTGTGATACTTATTTGCAGTATTCCATATAGGGATCCTGGAGATTCTGATTTGTTGTCAAAGCTCCCCAGGTGATTCTAATGAGCAGCCTGAGTTGTAATCACTGGTGTAAATGGTGTTGTGGGGTGTGTTTGACTCCTGTGTCTCACTTCCTCCTTAGAGTCAAGTTGATGGTTAGCAAGCTATTTTCATCAGGGTAGCTGACAACGGTCAGACTTACTGGCAGGAGCCAGCTTGGATTGATCTTGCACCTCTGGATTTTTGCAAAAAGGCAAACGATTTAGCATGTTCATGATTGGTGCCTCCTTATCTCTCTCTAGCCTACTGTGCTTATGTGAGCTGTACTGCAAATCCATCAAGAGTCCCTGACTCTGACTTGAATCATTTTTGAGGGCTGCCCGGTCACTTGATGCTTTTAAGACAAATTTATAAGTCCAACAAATGACAAGGAAAGGGTTTTGGGTGGGTACTGGAAAAGTTCGTTTTTTAAAGTGGTTTTTGTTGTTGTTTTTTGAGTACTTCTTTCTTTAGAGTTACATACTAAAGTACAGATGACATGTCTGGAATTCATTTTAAAATTCATTGGTGGGGGAAATGGGTATAGATGAAACAAAATGTACTATATATATTGATCGTTGAAGCTGGGTGAGTACATGGAGTTCATTAAACTATTCTATTGTATGCTTAAAAGCCAGTAGGAAAACAAATATGGTATATAGTACAAAATAGTGCTGTTTCATCTTTGGTTGGCTTTGAAGGTATATACATATTCCATATAGTGTCTACTGATCAATAGTTACAGAAAGTATATGGGAGCCTGGAGAGGGGGTTGTTGATAAACCGCTTGGTTTGGTGAGGGTCTGCAATCTCCATGGAAGGACCACAATGCTAGATATTTACTTTTGAAATTGAAACTCCAGATTGCTCATCTAACCAGACTAGTTTTCCTTTATGTCATTGAACATTTTTAGGTTTCTGGATTTTAGAATGCTCAATATTATAAATGGAGGGAGGAAAAGGGTTAGGATTCAAGATTACCACAGTTTGAAAACAGTATTGACAAAGGTTCTCGATGTAAGGATCTGTTAAGAGAGGAAACAAAAGCTTGGGTAGCTCTGATTTTCATTTGGAAAATCATGTATATGGGAAAGTAAATGTCTTATTTATTCCAGGATCTCATTTTGAAAATTTTTATTACGGAAAATTTTAAACATGTGAAATTAAATAGTAAAATGGCTCTTCGTGTACATACCATCCAGCTTCAGCAGTTCCCAACTGCTAGCCAGTGTACTTCTTTCATATGTACTCTCACCTACCCCAGATTATTTGGAGACAGATCCCAGATATTATTTCAACCATAATTATTTTACCAAATTTCCTTTTAAAATAATACCTTTTTTCAAACATAATGCTTATCACATATAGAAAAACTAACATTAATTCCTTAGTTTCGGGTAACTTCAAATTTCCCCAATTATTTAAAAGTGACCTAGGATCTCTTGATTCCTCACTTAACTGTTTCTCTTTTGGTTGCTTCTATAAGGTCCGAAAGGCTCTGCGAAGTGCAGAGGCCTATGAAAATTTCCTACGCTGTCTTGTTATCTTTAACCAGGAGGTGATCTCTCGGGCTGAGCTTGTGCAGTTAGTCTCTCCTTTCCTGGGGTAAGTGGAGTTGCAGGGGCTTAGCCTTGATGCATGATATGGAAGTGAAATAAAACTTAGTTTGCTAGGCAAAATTAATTTGGTTGTGGTGGGTCAGTTGATTCATAAAATGTGTGTCAAAAGACTTCTCTGGGAAGTCTCCCGGTTCAGCTCTAGAGTTTAAAAAAAAAAAAAAAAAAGAAAAAGTTGATTCATAATGTGTGTCAAAAGACTTCTCTGGGAAGTCTCCCGGTTCAGCTCTAGAGTTTAAAAAAAAAAAAAAAAAAGGACAACAACCAAGACTAATGGTCTCCTGATATCCTGACCCAGTGTTAGATATTAATAGAGACCAATCTCTTCCAGGGTTCTAGAATCTTGACTGTATTTGACAACCTAAGAATTATCTGAATACTGAAGCAATATTCTTGATTAGAAGAATGGCTATTATCTAGTTTTAGTGCAGCTCCTCGAAGACCAATTTAACTGAGCACTTTACAAAAAAAAGCCAAATGCTCAGAAGCAGTGCTTCTGAGGCAGGAAATACTAATTGTTATTGGAATTGTCCCTGATAGCAGAGTTCTGTCCTAACACCAGATAGTGGCAGTCACACATCATGATAATTGCATCATGCTTCTAATTGCTCACCAATTTTTGGTTTGATTCTTCAGGAAATTCCCTGAATTGTTTAATTGGTTTAAAAACTTTCTGGGCTATAAGGAGTCTGTACATCTGGAAACCTTTCAAAAGGAACGAGCCACAGAGGGCATTGCCATGGAGATAGATTATGCCTCTTGTAAACGGTTGGGTTCCAGCTACCGAGCCCTCCCAAAGAGTTACCAGCAGCCCAAGTGTACAGGACGGACTCCTCTCTGTAAAGAGGTAAGGCCTTTCCCAAAAGGATCAATCCCAAATCCTCAGGTTTCTCTAGAAGGAAGTGGTCCCAGGGATTGAGAGTTATATGAGTGAGGAAATCAAGACCCTTCTGTCTTATCTTTTGTAAACTTGCTAAAAATGGAACTTGTAATGTCAACTGTTTCTTCCTTCCCCTAGAGTTTTGTTTTTTATTGAGAATACTCAGAAAGCTTTGTTACACTTTTATTTCAATTTCTCTTCTTTTACCCAAAGGTTTTAAATGATACCTGGGTTTCCTTCCCTTCTTGGTCTGAGGACTCCACCTTTGTTAGTTCCAAGAAAACTCAGTATGAAGAACATATCTATCGTTGTGAAGATGAACGCTTTGAGGTACAAGCTCCTTTATCATTTGAAGTTTGGGAAAATGAAAGATGATAAATGATAAGATAGCTTATCTGTGAGGGTTGGCTTTTAAAATGGAAAAGCCAGAGGCTTACATTTTTTCATGGTAAATGCTTGTACTTCCATGCTTTATGAGCTTGTCAAATGTGCTAGTATTATTTCTATAGCAAATGTGACTTGGGCCACATTAATCCTTTTAACTGAAATCATCCATTCATGGCTTATTAACACTTTGAATTTTTAATAGCATTTTTAAGGTTGTGTTTTACATGGTATAGAAACTTAGTATCTATCATAAAGCCTACTGGGCTTCCTTGAAGCGGTTTGAAATGTTTATTTTAAAATGTGTATTATTCTTAGGTAGTTAGCAAACCAGCTCTCTTATAAGAACTGGAATTCTCTCATATTTTGATGTTAATTTGGCTCTTTTTGAAAGAAAGTTAAATTAGGGACTTTAAAGTAGTTGGGAAGGGATGAGCTGGTAGAGCCCTTATACCTGGAGTAGGAATGCTGAAATTGGGATCAGAATCTCCAGTATGTCTAGTTTACTGATATCAAAAAGGGGGGTTAAATATATCTAAAGAGTTAAAATTACATGTATTCTATTTAATATATTATATAAAACTAACTAGCCCTGTTCATTCCTCTGGTCGGGTGATATCTTGCTCTGTTTTTAATCCATATTGATAGTTTTCTCTCTGGTAGTTATCCCCCTCACACTTGCTTCAGCTGTTTCTGACATGTTTTGAATGAAGACCCACGTGTTACTTGGCCAGTCGCAGGTGATTGGCCATCTCTGCCACAGAGTTTATGAGGAGGTTCAATCATTTGCAAAAAAATTAATCATGGCAAATGTTAACTTTCATGGAAAATTTTATCAAGCTAAAGAAAGCATTTATTTGTTACCTATGTTTAGTAAGGTTAGATGAGTTAGCAGAGATTGGCATCTTTTTTTGAGAGGATGTTTCTGTTCTCAGCTGGCATGCTTGGAAATGAGAGGCAACATCCTCATTTTCCATTTGTGATTATAGGAGTGAAGATGACAAAAGTGTGGTGTGTGCGTATATGCTTAGGATTGGCTGGGATGGGCTAGTTTGAAGGAGTGTTCTTTTATACATAAGGATAGGTTAGAGATCTACAATACAGGCAACCCCCAAATCTCAGTGGCTTGAAGAAACATTTATTCCTTGATCTTGCTACATGTACATTGATGCTTAGCAGAAAATTCTGCTCATCAGAATTACTTGGGGGACCCAGGCCAACAGCATGCCACCATCTTAAACATTGCCAGTCACTGGAGGATAAAAGAGCTCAGATATACTCTAGCCTAGAAGTAATAAACATTACTTTGACTTACTTGTTTACAACTCATTTGCCAGACTAGTTACATGGCCTTATCCAGTCACAAGGGAGTCAGGAAGTTCAATCCATCTTCAAAATTGGGGAGAATGGGTGGGGGCAGAAATATATAACAAAATGACTTCTAAAGTCCCCAGACTAGAAAACTTAGGGAAGCTTCTACAGGCATTTGCTCATAGGCCCTTGAGGCTGCTCATTTACTTCATTTTCTGTTTCTCGTTTAGAGAATCTTGTGTTAAGTCTAGGAAAAAAGTTTACTCAAAGGCTGCCAGTCATATCTTTATCCAGGTCAGGCTTGGCCCTTGCCAGAAAATAGTGCCAGGAATTCAGTAAGAATTTAAGTGGGTTTCCACATTGTAAATATTGATGTCCTTAAGGAATGATAGTCTCTGCTCTTATTACGACTGGATGTGGAACAAGGCTATTAAATATTTAAATATTGCAAGTTACTCTGAAAAACCTTACTCATGAGACTTGATTTATCATCTTGAATGATTTTGGGGAGATTGTTTTTTGTTTTTAATTGTTATTGTTTGCAACAGATCTTAGCAATTCAAGAACATTCAGGGAAAAGTGTCAGTAAGGTTGTCTCCTGTTAGATCCCTCTAGTCTGGGTCTGTAGTCCTAAGTCAAAGACACTAGTGGTGGTAGAAGTAATGACTACCACTTATCCATCATGTGAAGATATTTGTGGATTGTATCATTTAATCCAGAAAACAACCTTATGAGAGTAGGTTCTGTTACCCCTACTTTACTGATAAGGAAACATTGTTATGACTAGTATGGCAGAGCCAGGATTCCAGTCCAGAGAGTTTGACTGGACCTTATACTCCTAAGATTCTATTCTGGTTTGGCTCTTGAGCACACTTTGTCTTTTTCTTTAGCTCGATGTAGTTTTAGAGACCAACCTGGCAACAATCCGGGTTCTGGAAGCAATACAGAAGAAGCTTTCCCGCCTCTCTGCAGAGGAACAAGCCAAATTTCGCTTGGACAATACCCTTGGGGGCACATCGGAAGTCATCCATAGAAAAGCACTCCAGAGGATATATGCTGACAAAGCAGCTGACATCATTGATGGTCTGAGGAAGAACCCCTCTATTGCTGTCCCCATTGTCCTTAAAAGGTATCCAAGCAAATGTGCTCTCGTGCTCTCGTGTACTTCATGATAGAGTCTGTGTCCCATTAGATAAAGCTCCCATTTTTGACCTGGTTACCTCATGAGACCTCCACTTCTCATTATGGTTGCTGAAAATCAGGTGCAGCTTGGGATAGTGGAGCTTCTTTTTTTTTTCTTTTCTTTTTTTTAAACTGCTTCATGAATTTGTATGTCATCTTTCTGCAGGGATCATGCTATTCTCTGTATCATTCCAATTTTAATATATGCGCTGTTGAAGCAAGCACGGTAATTGAGTTTCTTGATGGGGTTCTTTGTAACCAGCAATAGAGGACAAATCTTGGAAGTCCATAGTGGAATTCTCTGTGTTGGAGGCCATATTTTAAAGTATAGAAAAGAACAAAGAAGAGAACCACCAACCCATTTTTCTGCCATTCAGTACTAACCGTTATAACATCTTTAGTTTTTAATAAGAAGGATCACTCTTAGTCTTTGTAAAATTGATGTGTATAATTTAAAAAGACTTAGATTGCCGTTTCTACCAAGAATGTCTTCTTTCTCCTACCTGAGGTATAGAGGGGCTCTTGTGGCCACCTAAGGCCAGGCATCAAGGGGCCAGAATTAGGACAGAGCCCCAGGTTCCTCCAAATCCATGGCATTCTGGACCCACTGCGAATCTCAGCTAAGAGCTGGATCCTCACTCAGTATCACTTGGTGAAAAGGAATTCTTGTCTGCTGTACAGTTCATAGTTGCCCTGATTTTATTGTTCTTCTCTAGTCTTCCTGTCAGGTGCTAGCACAGGTTATTACTCTTTGTGCCGGTAGCATTTAACTTGGCTTTGAGATGTCAGTTTTCATGCTGATTTTGATTTAACTCTCCTCTTCTGAAGGGTTAGTATCAGTTGTTCTCATCAGAACTTCCCAAACTGTTCAAAGGAACATTACTGTACAGATCCTCTGCCCTTGGACTTTTGCATTTACATTAGCGTAGTAAACATTCTTAGTCCTGTAGCAAAGAAACTTATTTAACTTTGTTTTAGCTGGCCAAGGAAGAAAACCCCCTTTTCAATGATACTCTGTGGAATGCTGTTTGAGAAATAAGTAGGATTTCTGACTTTGGGACAAATTACTTCCTTAAAATAAGTCCTGAATGAATAATTTCCCCATGTAACAGAGTTAAAGACTGCTTTGAATAACATTTATCTCAAGTTGCCAATAATTTTGACGGGCCTTTTATATCTTGACTTTTGAAATAAAGTAAGTGTAACATTTCTCACTTCTAAACTCTTAGGAGAGTAGGTGCTGTTATCTCGATTTCACTGGTAAGGTGATATTCTTACATGACTAGTGTGGCAGAACCAGGACTCCAGTCCAAGGAGTTTGACTCCTCACCTTATAATTCCCATGTCTTGTTGTTTTCACCCCTCCTCCAAACCACACTAGGTTGAAGATGAAAGAAGAAGAATGGCGAGAAGCTCAGAGGGGCTTTAACAAGGTGTGGAGAGAGCAAAATGAGAAATACTACTTGAAGTCTCTGGACCACCAGGGCATCAACTTTAAACAGAACGACACCAAGGTCCTGAGGTCTAAGAGCTTACTCAATGAGATTGAGAGTATTTATGATGAGGTGAGCTGGAGATTTCTGTGTCTGTGAGAAGACTCCAATCTATGTATTCAGCATAGCTTTAATTCCTGGAAATTACTTTGGTTATATGAAAGTGAGACCCTCTAAGACTTGTTGATTCTTGCTGCACAACTGTCATAGACTTCAGTTCCTGGTTCTACCATTTTAAACCTAAACCTCACCTTTATACCTAAGGTGCTTTACTGGTTTCCCAATTTACCATCCTGGTTTCAGTTTATGCCGAGTGCCTCCCTCTCCTGCTTCTCTCTCCATATATTTCCCTCAGACAGTACCTTGTATTTGTTTGTAAAGCCTATCTCAACTTTCCACAACTTAAACACTTATCACTCATCTCCAAACTTCTTAATCCTCGTTTATTCAGCATACTCACGAGGATTATGTATTTAGTATGGGAGCTAGGATACAGAGATGAATAAGATATTAATCTTGCTTTCTTCAAGCTCACATGGATAAAAACGTAAATGCTGTGTGACTGAGAATTCCTAGAAGTGGTGTGATCTTGAATTTAAAAAAACTTTTTATTGTGAAAATGTCAACTATACACAAAAGAGGGGAAAATAGTAAAATGAGCTCTTATATAAACATAAATAATCATCTCTGTTTTGCCAGTGTTGTCACATCTAACATCTTCTGCACTCCTACCCCAGAAGTACTTTAAATCTAGACTTCATATTGTATCCTCCATAAATACTAATTCACAATTTTAAAAGATGGTCCCAATTCTGTCCCATTGTCCCCTCTAAGTCTTCAAAGTCTGGAAGGTTACCAGTATTTTGGGATCAGACCACATCTTCCACATTACCTTACTGTTCCCTAAAGTTTTGGATTAGAAAATAATAGCCAGTATGGTTAATAATGGAATGTACTGATGATGTAGTCTCATAGGTCTGTTTATTGTTGCTCTAGATATGTTACTTAATACTTTGTGTGTCTCTTCTGTTAGAGGCAAGAGCAGGCTACGGAAGAAAATGCTGGTGTACCTGTCGGCCCACACCTCTCGCTTGCCTATGAAGACAAACAGATCCTGGAAGATGCCGCTGCTCTGATTATCCACCATGTGAAGAGGCAGACGGGCATTCAGAAGGAGGACAAATATAAAATCAAGCAAATAATGCATCATTTCATTCCAGATCTGCTCTTTGCTCAAAGGGGTGATCTCTCGGATGTGGAAGAAGAGGAAGAAGAAGAGATGGATGTAGACGAAGCCACAGGAGCAGCTAAGAAGCACAATGGTGTTGGGGGCAGTCCCCCTAAGTCAAAGCTACTGTTCAGTAACACAACAGCGCAAAAGTTAAGAGGGATGGATGAAGTATATAATCTCTTCTATGTTAATAACAACTGGTATATTTTTATGCGACTGCACCAGATTCTCTGCTTGAGGCTGCTGCGGATTTGTTCTCAAGCAGAACGGCAAATTGAAGAAGAAAACCGAGAGAGAGAGTGGGAACGGGAAGTGCTGGGCATAAAGCGAGACAAAAGCGACAGCCCTGCCATCCAGCTGCGTCTCAAAGAACCTAGTGAGTGCCTAGACTGTTGGTTTACAGAGAATGTGAGAGGTTCAGGGCCTCAATACCTAGGTAGACTCGGGACTGCTTTCTTTTATACATGGAACACAAGCAGGCCTTAGAGGGGTTCAAATTCTAGCTCGAAAACTTACTGGTTATATGATTTACTTAGTCTCAGAACCAGTTTACCTGCAAAATGGAAGTGCTACTTGTTACCTTGTAGGGTGGTTGGGAAAATTGCAGAAAATAATGCAAACCACCTATGCAGTGCTTGGATCGTGGACACTCGATGGCTGGTACTGTGGACACCAGGGAAGGGGGTGTCAGTTGCCATCAGTTTCCCAGATGGCAGATATCTGGGTTATTGCAGAGTGTTTCAAAGGACGGAAAGGTACTAAAATGGCATAGTTGGTTCACTCCATGACAGAACATAAATTCCTAGTGTTCATGCCTAAGACGTGAATTTTCTGACGTGTTTGTGCAGAACTTCTCTTTAACCAGCAGGGTTCATGGCTTATTCATAATAAATATGGGCTATGGAAAGGAGATTGGAACCCAAGAGATTGTGTGAGACAGCAGAATAGGCAGAGGATTAATGAAGATAGAGAACTCAGGAAAGAAAAAATTGGGGGTTAGGAACCGCATGTTTTTTATGTCACCTACTTGTAGATAACTGTTCAGTTCATAAATTGGATATTTAAGCTGAGTTTTTTCATGAAAAAAACTTTCATGAAGCCTTTCTTCTGTGCTCTTGAAGTAAATTACCTTTTTTTATTTTATTTTGTTTAACTGTTGCTGATATAAGAAGCTCATGTGTGGCCCTAGCCGCCTATCTGTTGAAGAGATAATGATGCTGGGAATTAATTCTAAAAGCCTTTATCTCTATTAATCCTGGCTTGAGAGAGACAACTTTTGGACCTCAGTGTGGCGATTCCATCTGCTTGGGTAGAAAGAAGAGAGAAAACGGCCTAATCCTGGCTTGACCACTGACTTAACCCTGGTTTGAGGCTTACGTAGTTTGGCCTTGAGTGATAATGCCAGCCTCAACCCTGATCATAGCGTGTGCACAAGTCTGGTTTCCACTCATAGCTTTATTCTGGCATAACAGCAATTTTTCGCAGTACTTATGCAGACCATGCCTATGCTGTGGCTCTGAACAAGGTGATATTCGCTGATGAAATTCAAGCCAGTTGCTTCTTTTAAACAATTGTCCTATTTTGTGTGTCTTGAATGAGTCCATCACACTTCAAATAAACAAATATGGACTCAGCTTTTTCTCTCAGCCTCTTTGACTCTACAAACTTTACATACTGGTAACCAAATGTCAGTGACAAAGTTCCTTTTGTAACTTTTTCATTTTGATGAACTTTTTATTAAAGTACAATACATAGACTGAAAAGTACACAAATCTGAATTGTATAGCTCAGTGAATTTTTACAAGTAACCAATACCTGAGTTGAGAAACAACGTAACCAGTACTCCAGATTCACCCCCTCATGCCACTGTCTTGATTGCTAATGAAATCAGATATGCCTGTTTTTGAGTCATATGTAAATGGGTCTTATTTTAGTTAAGTAAAAAGCAGAGTCCTTTCACCGTTTGCTAATTGCCAACATCTCCATATCAACTGATAAGATTCTAGCTGGTGGCAGAAGTGATTTATGTGCAGCAAGTACAAATCACTTCATGCAGTTTATGGAGTACAAGTTGGAATCCATTTTTAAACAAAAGCACTGACAAATGCAGGTGACTTCATTATTCATAGAATATTTAATTTGCATGCCTGTTTTTCTGTTCCCAAAAGATTTCCCAGTGCTAGAGTGTGACTCTTGTCTGCCTCTTCCTCATCTGCACTCCATGCTTTATCGAAATAGCTTTGTGAATAAGTGACTCATGTAAGGAATGCTCTATGCAGTCCAGAAGAGCAAGTTCCTCTCTCAGCAGAGGAGCCAGCAACTCTTTGAAGAAACTTTTTCCCTGGGATGTTTTATTTTCTTATCATGCAGAGCCCAGCAGACCTGTCAAATGTCTTTCTGGCATGGTCAGAATAGTGGAAGCTGCTGGTAAATTGCAGAGTCATTCTCCTTTGATAGACAGCGCTGGTGATTATAGCCACCTGTCAGATTTTGTGTGTCTGCAGCAGATTGCATGGATATGTTTTGAGTACCTAGGCCTAGAGCAATTGTGGGACTTGCCCTGCCCGCTCTCCTGATCTTTTCCTAGCAGGGTAAAGCCTCACCTGTCCCATCTCTCCCACAGTGGATGTTGACGTAGAAGATTATTACCCAGCTTTCCTGGATATGGTGCGGAGCCTGCTGGATGGCAACATAGATTCATCACAGTACGAAGATTCTCTACGAGAGATGTTCACCATTCATGCCTACATTGCCTTCACCATGGACAAACTAATCCAGAGCATTGTCAGACAGGTGAGGGCTAGGGTTGGTCAGGGAAGATGTTCTTCCCTAAAGATGGACCAGGCAAGAGAAGGTTTATACCAATGTTTATGAATGACTGGAGAGTGGGGAGTTAATGTGATGTCAGATTTCTCCTGTTAACAAAGTGGCAGTATTTCAGCCACATGGTTGACTCCTCTGCTTTGCTTAGTGTGCCCTCACAGTTGGATGTTCCTACCTCAGACCTGATATTTTACTCTTTTCTTACTGCCCACCTCTAGAGTCAGCATTGGTTCTGACCCCGCTCTCTCTCTCTGCCCTAATGGCCTAGCTCTTCTCTCATCTGTCAGGGGCGAGGTATCAGCGGGTAACATTTTGTCTTTAGTTGGTGTTGATAATTCTGTGTATTTTCCTCATTTAATATTTGAAGAGCTTTTTATAGGAGGTTTTATATACCTTCTTTTTTACTGCCCACCTCAGTATCTGAGGTTCCCTCTGAGTTAGGTTTGTGTTTGGTTTTGTGGTTTACTCCTGTGGCACCCTGGGAGTTTGTGAATCTGTTGTTCTCTACAGCAATGATAATTTTATAGTAAACAGCATGCAGTAAATAAGTTTCCACTTCTTTGCCTTGAGTTCTGAACTCCCAAAGGGAGTCTGTTGTTGATGCACTATCTTTAAAGTGAAAACTTGTTAGAAAAAAAAAAATCTAATTCTGGAGTCTACACTGGAAAGAAAAGCTTGTTACTCAGTGCTCTCTTGGGTAAATATTGAATCCTTTTCAGAGAACCCATGCTTTTGTCTTAAATTTGAAAGGATGCATGGCTCTGTATCCTTTTCACAGGACCTACTCAGTCAAGGAAGAACACATCACATAACTGAATTTTGGCATTTTCATATAGGTTGTCAGGCAGTGTTTTCCCTGAAAGTTGAAGGGTTTATTAGGCCTTTTGTTGAGGGATCTGTGTGGTGACTAACAGAAATCATCGTATGAATACAATTAGCTGGGGTCATAATTTTTGAGAGACTAATTCCTATTAACATCCCCTGAAAGTTGCTGTCTGCTTAATTTCTGATTACAGGTTTGCTGCTGCTACAGCTAGAAGTAAAATCTTTCATACTGCCCACACAACAACTTTATAAATTCAATAAAAGTAACTTTTTATAAACTGAGGTTTGTTTTTGAAACAATAGATATAATCATTTACTAGAAGCAGCTGGTTATGATTTTAGTCAATAATAGTAATGTCCAGTCATTTTTCTAAGGAAACAAGTTTTATCCAGAAAACCAAATTCAGTATTTTTTAAAACGTATGTTCATGATTCTCATCTTAACCCCTCAATTGGAGGCATATCTCTTCTCTTCCGCCTCATCTCAGTTGGTGTTTTCCAAGAGTTCATTGCTGACTAGAGGTAGAACATATAATTTAAGGTCAAGCCGTACATTTATCTTAACCATTTCCAGAATAGTTTAAGAGGGATTTATCTTAAAAATATAATAGGCGATCTCACAGATCTAGTTCAGAACCCAAAATATGGCCTGATCTCATAGGGATTGGACCTGGGACATTTTTTTTTCCTTGCTTGCATGCCTTCCTTCTGGACATCTGCTCCATTTTCATACTTCTCTATACAGACAGACATCTGGCACATACTCAAGGCTTTTCCAGCCTCCCAAGACTTTGGCTTGCCATGGCAGTGCCTCTGGCTCCAACATCAGCTGATCTTTCCATCCAGATTCTCTCCTGTCTACCAGACACACTCATTGTGTCATTTCAAATTAGCAGGAGCAAGAATCTGACCAGCCTAGCTTGGGGATGGAGTTGCGTAGTTGTCCCTGGGTTACAGTGCTCCCCTTTCCAAAGACTCTAGAAGGGGCTAGTTGTCCAAGAAGAAGGTATGGGTAGTGAGTCAGTGGCCTGGTCTATTTCAGTAAGAAGGTACAAAGCACAAATATCTGCATGGTAGAAACCATGCTTTGGATATACTTTTTTTAAAAAATATATATATATATATATATTATTTATGCCTACAGCACCTGGTCTTCCTAGGTGGTCTCCCATCCAAGTACTAACCAGGCCCAACCCTGTTTAGATTCCGAGATCAGACATCAGGCTTGTTCAGGGCGGCATGGCTGTAGACCATGGACCATGGCTCCACTGGGGCGCAAACCCAGGAACTTCTGCATGTAAAGCAGATGTGCTGACTGCTACACTATGGAACCACATCCCGGATATACTTTCTTTACACTACTTTTTTTTCTCTTTGAAACACTGTATCATAAGCTTTTCTCTACCTTAGCAAGCTACAAGCATTATTTAATGGTCTAATAGAATCCATGGTCTAGACTAGTTATAATTTATTTAACCACCTCCAGTTGCTGCCTTCTTAGTACCATCAGATCACTCACCCCGACCTTGCATTGTGTCCATTTATCTACAAATACACATACTTGTCATTTAAGACTTTTTAAACATTAAAAGTAAGTAATTTTCATAATTACTATCACTTCAGAAAGAACATATCTTCTAAAAATAGAATGGCTTAGTGGTTATGAGAATTTTAAAGTAAAATAGACATTGATATTACAGTGAACTTTTTGCTTGTTTCTTGTGCCTATTTTTTTACACTGGCATTATGATGGGTAGTTTCATTTGTGGGAATTTTTATTTCACAATAGAAATATTGTCATGATCCATGGTAGTGGGAATTCTAATTTAACTATCTAGTCATCAGTTTGATAAGATAGTCGTAAAAGTTACCAGTAGTCAGTCGTGATTGACCTGTACTGAAAATGAGTTAATTAACATTGCATACAATTTAAGTACTGTACTTTATATCAGTTGTAGGAAAATAGGTGGTATGTTAGAACATTGGCCTAGGGGTCAGGAAGCTTGAATGTTAGTCCTAATTCTGTTCCTTCACCTGAGTACCCCTGGGCAATTACTTCAGCAACACTTTCTTGAATGCCTAATGAGTTTCAGACTTTGTACTAGGGCTGTGAATATAGACATGGATCCCACTCTAAGGCCCCTCTCCTCACTTTGGCACACAGTGAGTTTTCTCATTTAACATGTAAGTTTGTCTCATATAACACAACACCCCTCTCCAGTCTTTTCCCAGAGTAGTTGTGTGGATCAAATGAGAAAATGTGTGAAAGCAAATTGTAAATAGTAAAGAAGTGCCGTATAAATAGGAAGCCATGGAAATTTTCTTTAATGTAAAAAAAAAATCTTTTTAAGTTCCTTTAGAATATTAACCTGAGTTGCCTATGGTTTTGCTTTTAAAGCAATTGAAGATTTTGGCTTAGTTTTTCTCCCAGAAAATAAAATAGTGGTTTTGAGTGATTTTTAAAAATTACCAACCTAGAAAAGCCTCTTTTGAGCTTATTGACTGGAACTATCAAGAAAAGGTTGATTGTGTGACAGAGAGAAGTGGTTTCTTGGTTCACTAATGACTTGCTTTTGCTTGATTCCAGCTGCAGCACATTGTGAGTGATGAGATCTGTGTACAGGTGACTGACCTTTACCTGGCAGAAAACAATAATGGGGCCACTGGAGGCCAGCTGAACACGCAGACTTCGAGGAGTCTCCTAGAGTCAGCATATCAGCGAAAGGCCGAGCAGCTCATGTCAGATGAGAACTGCTTTAAGGTGAGAGTTACTCATTTGCCAGGGACTGTTCTGGTGACAAGTTTAAGTTGTTGCAAATGTATTCACCGGAAGTCAAAGCAGTACCAGGGTGCTTTGACCCAGTGATTCCACTCCTGGAACACCTTTGAGTTCTGTGAGCTCATTGGAGGAAATACAAGAACATGGAAAAGTGGAAGTAAAGTCTCCCCATGACAGCCTGTTACTTCCTTGCTTTTAAAAACATTAGTTGTTATATATGATTTTTGCCATTTTGTATTTTGCTTTATTTCTTCAAATATTTTTTATGTGATAGTGCTTTGTAAGTACATTATTTAAAAATGTTTATTAAATGTAATCCTTGATCATTGTAGAAAAGATAGGAAATACAGAGAAAAGAAAAATTACCTACAGTTCTTCCCAGAAGCAATCACTGATGATATTTGCAGATTTTTCTATGCTTGCATATATTTTGAAAGAGATAATTAATACTAGGCACATGTTCTGTAACTTATTTTGCTCAATTAGCAACACTTCTGAGTCTTTATCTTTTTGTGACTATTTGATACCTAATTTTGTAGAGAATTACGCCTCTCTTGTTTAATATCTGGATTGTTTCCAGTTTTCCACCATTGTAATAGCTAATGAGAAAAGCATATCATTAGAAAAACCAAGATGTCCAATCCATTTAGGAGTAGTTAATGGTAGTCTACTGTGTGAATACCAAGTGGCATATTCTGCAGCCCTTAGAAGTTAATTATAAATTATAAAAATATTGAAATAAATAAAAGGATACACAAGTATGTGTATTATGATTGCAGCTATGTAGTAAATGTGTATAGTTAAACAAATCCTGTATGTATTGACACAAGAAGGGCAGGTTCAGGTGGCCCAGAATAAAGTTTGTAATTGGCCAAGCAGAGAGAGCTAAAATAAAGCTAAGTGAAAGTTCGACCTTGTTGGGTATGTTCCATGTACTTTAATGATGTGACCCCAAATTATTCACTTAGTTGTCTGCTTCTACTTTTAGCCATTTCTTTAGTTTCTAATCCATCACCTTTAATTTTTGCTTAATTTAGAATCAAAGAACTGGAAATGAGTTTTTTTAGTTCAGTCCTCAGATCTGATGTTCTGCTACCTGAGGACTTTCTCACTACTGAAGAGGTTTCCTAAGCTTTTCAGGGTTTTAAATCTATAAGTGTTTATTATGAATTTACTGTGCATTTAGTTTCAGTGGTAAACAATTACCATCCCTGCCCACAATGAATTAACAGTGTATTAAATTGTGTGGATAGGGTCTGAAGAAATGGATAGACTTACTCATAGATAAGAATAGTTGTCAGAGTGGCAGAGGGAATAGCAGGAACAATTGCTTAGTAACTAGGAAAATAGTGTCACCACAGTGATCCTCTTCATCAAAATGTTTACATAGAGAATAAAATTTAATAGTATTAGCACTAAGCTAAACATAAGCATCCCTTCAAATCCCCTGCCACCTCTCCAGCTCTAGCCTCCTCTCCGTTTATTTTTCCTGTGCACATTCTACACTCCTTTTTAAAAATGAGGTATGTTTAGTTCTCTTTATGTCCATTCAGACCCTTTTCTGTGCGTTTACATACATATGTATGTGTATGTAGAACTAATAATAGACTGCGTATGCTATATCTTTTTTCACTTAATATGTCTTAGAATTGCTCTATTTAGGTTTGTATAGATCTGGCTCATTTTTTTTCAACTGCCGTGTCATACTTAATAATATGAATGTATCATATTTTTTAAAAAATCATTCCCCTATAGGTGAACATTTAAACTATTTCCATTTTTTACTACCTCAGGTAGTGCTACATTGAACAGCATTTTCTTGTCCTTATGCACATATGTTAGTATTTCTCTAGGGTAGAGACAAGTGAAATTACTTGGTCAAAGGGTATGCATATTTTGAATTTTTAATTTTGATGGGTATTGCCATTTCACTCCAAAATGTTAGGCTGTACCAGTGTACACTTTGATAAGAGCATTTATTTCTTCATCCTTAGTCACTTGATATTACCAGACTTCTTTATTTTTGCCAGTTAGATGGTTAGAAAATTAATGTTATTTAAATTTGCATTTCTCTGTCTTACGCTGTTCCCCTTTTTCCCGTATTTGTATTGTTTATTCATATATTTCTCCTGTTTTTTGAGGGGGTGGTACTTTTCATATACTTATTAAAATACTTTTTCATAATCTCTCAGAAATTGATTTATCTTCCTCTATATCCTTTAGTGCCTAGCTGAGTGTCTCTCTCTAGTGAAGTCAGTTCTTTCTCAACTCACTGAAATAGTACCTTCGTAGTTACTTAAATGTAATATAAATATAGCTGTTTATATTCCTGTTTCTTTTACTAAATTGAGCTTCTCCAAACAAGAAACCATATTCTCTTCTGAGCATGCTCCTGCCTGATAAATAATGGACATTCAGTAACTATGGGTTGAGTGAATGAAGTACAAGATATTGGTGGGGAAGGTGTGTAGAAGCGGGGGGGGCAAATGATAGTAAATGGTTTGAATTTTTTAGTGGTTGGTGAGCAGCGAGGCATTATTAGGGACTAAATATCCACTGGATTTGAGATTTTAGGAAGGTCAGTTTGGTATAGCACTGAATAAGGAGGAGTGGAGGAACCAGAGGGTTGTTTACTACTGTAGGCAATTACCAAATTTGGGTGATGGATATTGGCAGTCTACTAATGAATCTAGTCAGGACTTGGAGAGTAGTTATCGAAGTGAAAGAATTTGGTGAACACATGGTAAACGGCTTAACAAGACAGGTGACAGGTGTAGGCGCCTGTTGGGGTAAAACCGAGTTTGGGTTTAGGTATGGACAGAGTAGACTGTCTACTCAATATCACTTTGAAGGGTGATTTCCTTAGAGCAATAGGAATAATCTAGACACTCTAGGTTATCCTAGGCAGGGGAATTTTAGCAAACTTCTATGGGCACTTCTTTTCAAATCTATTTGGGAAGTAACTATGTTTGCATTTGTGTGTATTACATTCTTGTCGTATTTTGAATTTTACTAGCAGATAGGAATTTTTAAAGCTTCTCCAGAAGAACACTGAGAACGATAACTGGCTTCTGGTGCCCTTTCTCTAGCTATGTGCCATTGAGAAATCAGAACTCTATGAATTTTCGGTTTTCCCCTGTGTAAACCAAGGAGGTTGAAATAAATGATTCTCAGTTTTCTTTCTAAGCTCTTCTCTTTCTTTTTTGTCATTCGAGTACCGATCTTGTCTGTAGCAAGCACTTAGAATAAGGGCATTGAGAATCCCAGGGTTCTGAAAGAGGAGATCCATGTGCCATCACTATTTGATAGCTCTTGTGACCAATACATTACAGCAGATCACTTCTTAATATGTCGACGTTGTGTGTTCCATACCTCATGGCGTGACACCTTGGGTAGTCTTTATTACAGTGGAAATGTGGTTGCTGCTCTCTGTTGATGTTTTCCACTTCACTTTGGTCTGAGAAGATTCCTTTTTTTTTTTTTTTTTTTTTTTTAAAGAAAAATATTGTAAACTTGCTTACATCTTTGTATTAAATCCTAGAAATGGAATTATCAAGTGAAAGGGCATTGACATTTTACGGTTCTGGCTTTGCTATATTTCTTTCTAATGAACAAACTACTTTTAAAGCACTCTCACTGACATTGATTATTGTTTTAGCTAATTTAAGAAGTATGAAACATAAAATGATGCTTTTTGCTCTAACATGTTTTGCTGATAGCAAGATTAAACTTTTGCCTTTATCACTTACCTCTTAAGCTTTTGACTATCTTCTTCATCTGTTCCATTGGAGCAGAGTTTTATAATGTCGTTGCCTCCCCAACTCCCAACCTTTGAGAAGCTAGGTTATAGCTTTGGAGGTGGTCTTTTGTTTACACTCAGGTTTCTTATTTGCAGCTTATGTTCATTCAGAGCCAAGGCCAGGTTCAGCTGACCATTGAACTTTTGGACACAGAAGAGGAGAACTCGGACGACCCTGTAGAAGCAGAGGTATGGACAAGTATAATGCATAAACTGGGCTGAGAGAGCTGTCATGTCCTCGGGGTCTGCCCATGGACTGTCTTCTAGAAGGCCAAGACCACCAGCCTTAGGCCTGTTTAAGGGTCTGGACCTGACGCTTAAAGTACAGGTCATTCCAGCCATATCTTCTGCCTGAATAGAAGGTGCCATCTGCCCGATATCATCTTGGCTCTTTATGTCATGTTTACTTTTTATTGAGATGAATGAAGCCAAGAGTTCACAATCCCACAGAGTAGACAGGGTGAATTGATTATCCTAGCTGGGTGTAACTGGTAATGAGAGATGCAAGCCACATGTATAAAGTTGGGATGATATGGAAGAGAGGTGGTTATTTTGTAGGAATATTGGCTCACGGTTGCCAAATCTTTAAATTTTTTTAAAAGATGCCAGAAATCCAGATTTTAATGGGAGAGATACTGATTTTCAAACATTTGTGACTCATTTTATTCTTTAACAAATGCTCTGGGGAAAGAAAACTTGTCAGTGAGCCAGTTTATATACATGCATGACTTCTGGTAACTTAAGTATCTCAGAGAAACTCTGAGGTTTGCTGTCTAACAATTTTTAAACTGTTTCGATACCAAGTTACAAGCATGTCATTATGGAAAGAGATTTTTTTATCTTGAAATTTTAGAGATTTCAGACATATTAGTCACAGAATTTGCTAGACTGCCTGATGAGGATGGAATTCAGTTTTTGTGCTCTCTTCCCACCCCTATTTTGTGTTTATAATCCTAGCGCTGGTCAGACTATGTGGAACGATATATGAATTCTGATACTACCTCTCCTGAGCTTCGTGAGCATCTGGCACGGAAACCAGTATTTCTTCCAAGGTAAGTGAACCAAGTCCAGATCAGCAGTATATACTTGCGCATGGTTAAGAAATGGAGAGCTGAATGACTCACATTCTTGGTTTTCACTTACTCTGATCATTGTTCTGTCTGCTGAGGACACCAGTCAAGGTTTGTGTCACTGTTACACCAGGAGCTTAACCTGGATCTCACGCCAAAGCATCAGGAAAGTGAGTTTTAAAGAATCAACAGTAACTTCCCTTATGTTGGATGGGAATGAGTGGAAGGATAGAAAGCTAAATCAGCAAGGGGAAAAGGCACCTATGGCAAAGTCAGAGGAAACCAGGCACAAGCTTCTAGGAGTCCTCGTCACACAGGACATTCTTAATTCCTCTAGCAATACATGATGACAATACATTTGAAATGCTGTTCACCAGAGAAGTTCATTAGAGACTCTTTCACTTACCTCTTAAGCTTTTGACTATCTTCTTCATCTGTTCCATTGGAGCAGAGTTTTATAACGTTTCAGTGCCAGGGTTTTTTATTAGGTGCTAGTCATATAGGTACCCTCTACCTTAGTATGTACCAAAATTCAAGACTTCCAGAAGAAAAGCACATTTTTTCAGCATAAATCATAAATTTTGTTCAAATAGTTTACATACAGTGAGCCACTTACCATTTAGGGAATGGTAGAAACTCCCAAAATCCAAGATCCCAGAACCCAGCCAAGGGACAGCCTTGTAAGCAGGCCTTCCAAAGGATAGCAGTCTTAGGCCTGCTCCATTAACTCTCTTCAGAGGATCTTTTCAATTTCCCCCACCCCCATATATGGGTAGATTGTAATGCTGGTTCTCTGAGGTTGAAAAAGCATTTCAGGAATAGAAAATTGGTTTTGCTATAGTAGAGTGGCTTTCTTCCTTCCCAAAAGTTTGGAATTAAAATCGTATGCCTTACATTTCCAGAAAGGTATTACCCCAGTTTTGTTAGACTTAGTCCTAATCAGAACATGAAAAGAGTGTGAGCAGATCCTTCTGCCACCAGGTTTTGCCAGATTCTTCTATTCCTTGATTCATTGAGCAGATGTCGAGCAGCTGCTCTGTGCAAGGCTGCGCAACAAAACAGACTTAATCTCTATGCTTTTGAAACAGTACAGTAAACATATATCATGTGTTTCTCACCAGATCGGCAAAGTTTTTAAAATATTCATAATCTGTGTTGTAGACGGTGCAGGGAAGGGAGGCACTTTCATATTATGTGGGGAAAGATATAAATTGATATAATTATTCTGGGGTCAGGGCCATTAATGTATGGGACCTTTACCGTAGAAGTTTGGTTTCTAGTCATCTGCCTTATAGCTAAAGTTCTCAGTCTTTTTTGGCCTTGAGACCCCTTTGGTCTTAGAGATTGAGTACCTCTAAAAGCTTTTGCTTATATGGATTATATCTAGTAATATTTACCACATTAGAAATTAAAACTGAGAAATGTTTAAAATGTTTATGAATTCATTTTAAAAGTAACAATACTAAACCCATTATATGTTATCATAAATAATATATTAATGAAAGCTATTTCAAAACAAAAATTGGTGAAGAATGGCATTGCATTACATGGCATTGCTTAATAGAAGAACAGCTGGATTCTCCTATCTGCTTCTATGTTCAATTTATTGCGCTGTGTTGTTTGGTTGAAAAATGTGAAGAAAATCTGGCCTTACTCAAATGTGTAGCTAGAAAAAGAATTATTTTCATATCCTTTTAGATACTTGTGGATATTATTTGATATGATAATAAAACTCTTCAAGTGGTAGTTTCTTAAAGATTAGTGGCAGTATCAGTGAAAATACCTATGAGCTTTTCATACAGTTATATCAAAATCCTTTGGTTTATCTTGTACTTTGAATAAATCTTTCTTTCATGCAACTTCATGTAGTTGGTTATTCAGAAAATATTAATTTACTAAGTTATGCAGACCTATCAGGTGTTTACACATTTTCATTTTACAACATCCATTTATTAACATCACCATCAACCTCATCAAATACATCTTTAAATAGTGAGAAGCTCTTTGCTCATGGTGGCAAGTACTCATTTACCAAAACTAAAAGTTTTACTTGTGAGCTTAAATCTTATTTTGGTAATAAATATGTGCAGTTGTTTTCCTTAAAGTGCCACGCTCTCTTGTTCTTTTTTGAGAAAAAATGGATCAAATACCCCAGGCTGGCTAGTCAGTTGTTCTTTCAGGTAAAGTTGGTGATCCATTTGCAACTCAAGCAGTGGTGAAGTGCTTTTCTTCAAGGATTCCATTGTACTTCAGTACACGACAGTGTTTCCTGTGTAGTTCCCATTTTACCACATAGCATATTATAACAATGTGAACTAAGGGGCTGGGATTTAATTTTAAAATATTTTTGCTTCATCAAGAACAGTCTTTTGTGAAACCAGCTTTCTTGTTAATTGCCAGTGCATGGCCAGAGAAGAATACAAAGACTTCTAAAGACAGTTTGGTGCCACCACCAGCATTTTTATTCACCATTACTTTTGCACTGCAGTGCAAATGTTAGCGCAGTTGGCGGGGGGGCAGGTAATGATTTAGTGTTATTATGAAAGTAGTTTTGATCTCACAGACCTCCTGAAAAGGGTCTTGAAACTGCCAATGGTCCTTGGACCAAAGAAGTGCTGTCTTAAAGAAATACGTGTATACAAAGATACTCACTGAAGCAGTGGTTTTGATAGCAAAGTATTGGAAACAATATAATTGTATAGTTAACAACCTTTCTTCTCTGCTTATTATTGGAGATAATTAAACTCTAAATACCCAAAGGCATCCATTGATGGGAATGATTTTCTTTCTTATATATGTAGAATAGCATTAGTTATGTATAATTTTTTGGAATAATTGAAAAAATAAGCATTTAAATCATTTTCTGTGTTCTTGTTCAGATGAGGAACTCTGGTTGATTTCTGTAAAGGGATGGTTAAATTTAGGTACATTCCTCTGCAGCCGTTAAGGGAATGAGACAAATCTATGTGAATTGAAATGAAAAAGTCTTAATGAAATTCAGTGAAAAGTTGAGGATAATAGAATATTTATAGTGTGATCTGGTTAGTCTTAAAAAAACAAAAGCAGAACTATAACGAGTGATTACATATTTTAATTTTGGCAGGCCTAGAGGTTTTAAATCAAAACTGCTAACAATGGCCAGCCACCTTTGCCAAGGCAAGTGGAATTTGAAGAATTGGGGGTAGAGGATGGTTGAAGATTTCTATTTTTTATTCGATGTGTCTATGCAGTTGAAAAAGTTTTTTTAGAATAATACCATTAGACACTTTTTATATGTATGCAGCTAAAATTATGGCAAGTGCTGTGAAGGCATATAATAAGGAAAACTTTGGGGGAGAGTCTGTCTGGATGAGCTCTTATCCTACAGGGCTTTCTGCTTTGTAGAAACCTGCGGCGAATCCGGAAGTGTCAGCGTGGTCGAGAACAGCAGGAAAAGGAAGGGAAGGAAGGAAACAGCAAGAAGAACATGGAGAATGTGGATAGCCTGGATAAGCTGGAGTGTAGGTTCAAGCTGAACTCATACAAGATGGTATATGTGATCAAGTCTGAGGACTACATGTATCGGAGGACCGCCCTGCTCCGGGCTCATCAGGTGAGAACCTCCCTCCTCCAACCAGGACCAGCCTACCCCAGAGGCTTCTGGTGTTTTCTCTTCCTTTTTGAAAACTGCCACTTTGGATTTGAGAATTGCTGAGTAAGCGGGTATATTAAGTTGTTGCAGAAACCATAATAATGTGCCACGGACTGTGTGACTTAAACAGAAATTTATTGTCTCAGTGTTTTGGAAGATAGAAGTCTAGGATTGAAGTGTTGGCAAAGTGGGTTCAAACCTTCTGAGGGCTATCAGGGAGAATCTATTGCATGCCTCTCCTAGGCTCTGGTTGTTTGCTGGCAGTCTTTGGCATTCCTTGGCTAGAAGATCTCTGCCTTCATCTTCACATGGAGTTCTCCCCGTGTGTCTGTGTCCAGATTTCCCCCTTTTAAAGATGCCAGTCATACTACATTATGGGTTCACCCTACTACAGTATGATCTCACCTTAACTAATTATATCTACAACAACCTTATTTCCAAATAAGGTCACATTCAAAGATACTAAGAGTGAGAACTTGAACAGAGGAATTGGATGTAGAGGGCACAATTCAGCAGGTGGTACCTTTCAGTGAAGCTACTCTGCATTTATTATCAAGTGGCGTTGGCTTATATGAAGCCTGTTTTCATACACTGTCTCAATTGTGAAAGCTTCCTGATGTGCTTATGAACCAGGTGTTGTGCCAGGCCCTGGACTACAACCATGAAGTACAGCATATAAAGCAGTGTGATACTCTCTACCAAGGAAAGAAACTAGGTGAAGTAATCAAGGGTAACTGGTGTGTAGGCCCAGCTTTTGTTGGGGAGATCTAAGGAGGTGATGCTTAAGGCCTAAACAATGACAGAGTTCCAGCCTGGTGAAGAGTTGAGGGTTGGGACTTTCTAGGCAAAGGAAACAAGCAAGTGCAAGACTGGAAAAAGGACTTGGTATGAAACCATCACTGTGGTTTGAGCCATAAGGAAGGTGGGATGCATGAAGTTAGAGGGCTGGGCAGAGGCCACATCATTTAGTCTCATGGGCCATGGTTTGGATTTTATTTGAGGTACATTAGGACATCGTTGACAAAGATGGCTTGGTGAAGAGAATGGGACTGAGTGCAGGCACAAAGCTGGAGAGGCAGGAACCACTCAGTAGACTGCTCTTGTCCAAATGAGATGTGATGGTAACCCAGGCTAGCAGAAGAGTGGCAGTGGAATTGTGAGAATTAGAAAGACTGGAGATATAATTTGAAAATACAGTTGTCAAGATGTGGTAATGATCAGATCAATATTTGACACAGGAGAAGAGAACATCAAGGATGATGCCTAGTGGTTTTTGTGGTTTGGATTTGTTTGTTTTGCTTGAGTAAATGGGAAGGTTAGGCATACATATGTTAATAGGGAAGAGTTACAAGGTTTGAGGGGCAGATCAAGCACTCCGTTTTGAACTGGATAAGTTGGAAAGGACAATAAAACATTCAAGTGGGAGATGTTGGGTGAGCAGTTTAATGTACTTCTCTCTTGATGCTGTGTGTTGTCTGTATGTCTGATTCAAATTATTTGGAGAGCTGGCAACCTCTAATTCATCCTTATCCCCTACTCTGCCTTGCACATATAAATGTTTATAGGATGCATAGGTAGGAACATAAACCTCCACTGAAGATCTGCTGTGCCTGGCACTCTGCTGGGTGGGGTGGGGGTAATACTGTGAAGGGAGAATGGGGTTTAAGCCTTCTGCTTTGTGCCATCTTTCAAAGAAATGGATTAATAAGCAACAGTCACAACTTATATCTCACTTGGGGTACATTAGAATCAGCCAGGTTGCTGATTTTAAAATGTAGATTGATGAAAATAAGGAAATCTGTATTTTTATCAAGTATACCAGGTGGTACGAATGCTAAAATTGAGAAGCACTGAACTAGTTCTGCCCAGACTCTGTGCTTGGCATTTCTTTGGGGGCTTAATGGGTTTCGACTCCTTACATGCTCTATGTTCTTAACATTTTTAATTCTCTTTAAACAGAGACTCCTATTCTCCCCACCCCACCCCCACCCCCCGCCTTTTAACCAGTAGTATCATCAGAGACTTGAGCCCCCATCCTTCCATTGCTACTTTAGGAGAAAATTTGACTTTGTATTCGAAGAGTTTTCGTTTTGGTCCTAGTTCATGGGGGTTTTTTTGTTTTGGTTTTTTTCTTGTTTTGCAGTCCCATGAGCGTGTAAGCAAGAGGCTACATCAGAGGTTCCAGGCCTGGGTAGATAAATGGACCAAGGAGCATGTGCCCCGTGAAATGGCAGCAGAGACCAGCAAGTGGCTCATGGGTGAGGGGCTGGAGGGCCTGGTGCCCTGTACCACCACCTGTGACACAGAGACCCTGCACTTTGTGAGCATTAACAAGTACCGTGTCAAATACGGCACAGTGTTCAAAGCCCCATAACTGTAAGGCCAGAGCAGACAACTTGAGGGAGGTGTGTGTGGGGTGGGGTGGGGTTCACGTGTCCTCACACACACTGAAGAAATGAGGAAGATGCCTTTCAAGCCTCACTGGGCCTCTCTGGGACATGGCCACCTGATGTGTGTGTGGCCGGTGCAACCTGGCACCAAGTGGGCTACAAGGAAGAAACATGGGTACCTTATAAAGCCAGAGCTGGAACTTTCCTCAAGGGGTTTTGGATATTATCCTGTCCGGAGGGGAAGGAAATCCATGCAAGCACAGAGACACTCAGCTTGCTTGCACACACCAGCAGAGCTAGGACTGGAATTTCCTGGGACCTGACCTTCGATAAGGAAACCAGGTGCTGTTCACACCTTGACTAGATGGGTGTGCATTGACAAACGACTGGGGAAGGACTCAACACTCAAGATGGGTTGTAACTCTGATGGTCACTGCTCTTCTCCTCTCCCCACAAAAGGGAAAAAAAAAACTGGATTTGATTTTTTTTTCCTGGCCACTCGAGCACATCTAGATCAGCCATTAGATTTTATCTGGGACCTGCAGTTTGGCTTTGGGATTGATCACCTTGTGGATTTGATTCCTGACGAATCCCTTGCTGCCTTCCCTTTACTCTCTCCTCTGGTTTTCAGCCTCAACAAGTTCAAATCAGTCGTCCTTTTTAGCTCCAGTGGAACTGTTTTGTACCTGCTTCTTTATTAGTCTACCCTAGTGCCATCCACCAGCTTCTCTCTCTCTTTCACACACACACGATTTTAACTTGGTTTTTCCTTTTTTGTAAATAATGTACATACTGTCAATTTTTTATTAAAAGATATGCTTTGATGTGCTAGCATAACTGCTCTAGCTTCTTGTGTACCATAGTTCTATGTGGCTTCAGATTTAGTACCTATGAACAGATGTACAAGACATTTATTACACTTTTTACCAAAGGGAGTTACCGTTGTAGTACTTTTGTGTAAAACTTGTCTTCCCCCTTACCCCAACTTTTTTTTTTTTTTTTTTTTTTTTTTTTTTAAAAAAAAAAACTTGTTTTTTTTTTAGAAAAAAACAAGGAATAAACTCGCAACCCAAGTCCCTTGTCCTCAGCTAAGAACTATTATGAAGCAAGGATTTGGGCTCAATTCCTTATCCACGGTATAAAACAGGATTTTGCTTTAAATAGCAGTCACTTGCACTTGTTTCAAGTCAAAACATTTAAAATTTTCAGAATAGAATACTTGATTCTTTTAGTACATGTTTTTTTCCCCTCGTATTTCAACTGTTTGGAAATATTTTATATTTGGGTAAGTTGTCCAGCTATATAGTTCGTATTTCTCTATATTTTTACTTATCCTTATTGGAAATGGAGGTGAACAACTTAAATACCAAACCAGTATTTGAAAGAAATGTGTATAAGGCATGTGGCATAAATGGGGTTGGGAGAGAGAAGACTTGGTACATTTCATTAGCAACTGCAAATGGAATATATATATTTTTTAATAACAAATTTAAACTGGCAGACAAATATGAGTGATTAGGATTTTTGTATGTAGTCAGCCTGGACTTCCGGTGGATTTTCTTCCAGCAACCATCACGCTAGTCATAGTTTTAAGTAACAGTGTTTTGTGTGGTTTTGTTGCTTTTTAATTAAAAAATCACTACCACCACCACTACTAAAAGCCCACAAATTTTTGGCTTCTGGACTTTTCAAAATACATGGTAGACTTCTGATTTTAGACTTTTTTGTTTGGGGGAGGCAGGGGGAGACAGAAGGGATGCTGAACCCAGAAATGTAGAATGGCAAAAGAGCCTTGTGGGAGATTTAAAGTTGAGGCAGTGCCTGACTTTGGGATAGAGTGATACTGATTGGGGGGTAAGAGCTTCAGGTTTCCCCAGCAATAACTCACCTATTCCCTTCTGCTCAAGAAAGATCATGTTGACTTGGAATTATAGCAGGAGAACTGTTGGGGCCCCAACTGTTGCTGTCTCTGCACAGGGTTATGTCCAGAGCACCTACCTGCTTGCAGGTCAGGATAGGGTTTCAGGGCTAGTTCAGGAGAAAATCCCAACCCACCAGTGCAACCAAAAGGGGCAGGGAGTGGAGGGAGAGCTTCACCTATAGCCAGGGTTTTCACAAGCAGCATTTTTTCCCTCCTGACATCTGAGCTCTAAGCTCTGAACCCAGCCTGTATTATAGCAAGTTCTCTGGTCTAATTCATGTTTGGTAACCTGTACTCAGTCACCTTTCTGTGTGATTTGTATTTGAAATGTAAATTTGACTTGGTTGGTATTTCCATTAAAATATCAGGGTTAATGCTGTGTATATATTTTTCTTACTAATGATTTTATAAACAGACTCCCTGGCAATCCTAGGAGGAGGAAAAAAGCTGCCAATGGCTTAATAGGATAACATGAAAATGAAATTGGAGGTGTCTCTATAATGGCTTCTCTTCAGTCCTGTGTGGTGAAATACAGTATTATATTAGGATCTTCAATGCTATGGCTGTAACATGCCCTCTCAAAATCTTTCCAGAATTTCTGGTGATGACCGACAGCCATATACATAAAATGGGTAGTAGAGGAAGCAGAGGTTACTGGGGTGAGAGCCGCCTTTATTTAACACAATGTCCATTCCCCGGCTCTTTCCACGTTAAGCAGACAGATTTTCGAGATAGAACCAGCCAGAAGTTGGATTGGGACTGGAGGGCCAGGGGATACCTACTTGCTGCTGCCGAGGCTGGGTGATTGTGTCTGTAGTGCCTAATGATCTCCTGTCTGTCCCCGAATTTCGGAGAACCTAAGCGTTAAACTTATTTTATTTATGGATTTGCCCAGTGGTGGCCCACCGGCCTGGACGAAGTAGAGGAGAGCCCCGGAAGTGCCGCTTTCAGCTCTCAGCGCCCGGTTCAAAGTTCAGAACCGCCGAGCTTCCGAGAGCCGCGGTGTTGCGAGAACAGCGGCTGGAAGGCGCCTTCGGTTGCCGGAACCTTTGTTTCCAGGCTGCGGGGACTCACGGGCAGCACGCGGGGCCACACCGGTAGCACCCGAGGTCTTCCGGGGAGAAGACTGGGCGCGCGGCGATGGCGATGGCAGCGGCGCCGGTCCTGAAGAACTGGCGCACTACGCTAGAACGGGTGGAGAAATTCGTGTCGCCGCTCTACTTTACTGACTGTAATCTCCGCGGCAGGTGTGGCCCCCTCAGGGCTCCGGCCGGCGCGTCCACGCGCCTCAGCCTTCCTTGCCAGGGGGAAACCCAAGCTGCCGCCACCCAAGCTGAGGGACAAAGTGTCCGCCCGCCGCGGACATGGCAGGGACCGAGGGGAGGAGGCAGGGAGGCTGTGCTATGGGGCAGTCATCTCGGAGGTCGATCAAGGGATCGCGCGTCCCACCCAACAGTGAGTCCACAGCCGGAAAGCTGGCCTCGAGTGCGTGCTCACTGGTCCCTCCCGCCCAGGCTCTTCGGGGAAAGCTGTCCGGTGGCCGCGCTTTCCAGCTTCCTGACACCCGAAAGGCTTCCCTACCAGGAGGCAGTACAGCAGGACTTCCGCCCCGCGCAGGTCGGCGACAGCTTCGGACCCACGTGGGTAACGAACGCCCAGAGGGTGGGCGGGGCCAGCGGACCAAAGGGATCCCTCACTCCTGGCTGGCTCATCTCTAAGGGCCATACCTACATTGTTGGCCCTCTGCACTAGATAGCCATTTGAGGCAGAGCAGCACCCTCTGCTGGGAACAGTTCCCTGGTCCCTCAGATTTCATGGAAAGATTCATTTTCCCCTTTCTCCCAGTCGCCGGACACCCCTTAAGAAGGGCATTGGAGGACAGATCACAGACCCTTGACTCCTCTGCCTCTTTTCCTCACCTTACTGGACACCCCATGGCTCCTTTCTTGTTGATCGAATCTGTATACCTTGTGATACAGATGCTTATGGAAAGTCTCAAGCCCCTACTGACCCTTAATTCAAGGAAGTACTATTTCAAAAGGGCAGGGCTCCATCTCAGTGGCTCTCTTGCAGATGGTGGACCTGTTGGTTCCGGGTGGAGCTGACCATCCCGGAGGCATGGGTGGGTCATGAAGTTCACCTTCGCTGGGAAAGTGATGGAGAAGGTCTGGTGTGGCGAGATGGGGAACCAGTCCAGGTAAGTTCTTACCCTAGGGACAGGCATGGCCACATATCAGCTCTGATGTCTGGAGAAGCCACAGCTGAGTGGCTCTGCCTGCAGGGTGGTATCCGTATTTTAGGACTGAGGAGGTTGCTGCTTGGGCCCCTTTGCAATGGGTCCCTCTCATACTGGGAAGTTAAATGGATGGCTTATGAGTGGCCATAATTAGTATTAAACCAAACCTGCCACTGATTGGCCACCTTCTTATTCTGGGCTGAAAGTAGTTACTAATCAAGTACAATATAAGTACAGCAAATCCATCTGGCTTTGCCGACCACATCACTTTTTATTTTAGGTTTTTAATGAACTAGTTTTTATTACATTCTGTAATATATACTTATGGGGGGAAACTTTCACAGTTTTAGATAGTATAAGGTAAAAATTAAGTCCTTTTTTCTGAAATAATGGATCTCTCCCTACTACCCTATCCCAATTCCCCAGATATAACCACTATTAAATATCTCATTTATTCATCCAACCATATCAGGTTTAATCTTTATAATCCTGTGTGGTGGGACTTTGTGCCGTTCACAGATTAAGAAACTGAGATATGTAGAGGTTAGTTCACTTGCTCAGTTCACACAGCTTCCATTCCAATTAGATTCTCAGTCTCAAAGTAGGACTGTTGTCCTACCTATATGGAAAGATACCAAAGCCGTCTGTTCCCTCCCACCCTCCCTCCCCCACCTCTCCATTGGCTCAGCAGTTGTCTCCTAAATGCCCTCTCTGGACCAGGCCTTATGCTAAGCACTGTGGATATAGCAAGGAATGAAGCAAACCTGTCCCTGACTTCATAGAGTTTCGTTTCTGATACTCATCAAGGAGTACAGAGGCCACCAGAAGCCACACTTAGGTCTCTTGACGACTGCCCAAGACCCTTCCCATAAGGCTAGGGGCTTTTTTGCTGATGCCATTTGGCGGTCATAGTGCTGGTTGCTATAGGGGTTGGAGCACCTGGTACCAGCTGTCCCCAGTTTATCAATCTTCGCCTTGCCTGGAAGAAAGAAACAAGAGCTGGGGACTGGGTGGAGGGGCCTGGCCTCCCTCAGCTTATACTTCACCTGAACTGTTAAAAAACCTCAGGCCTGGTCTCTTTTCCTCCACTCCCACCAGGGTTTGACCAAAGAGGGGAAGAAGACCAGCTATGTCCTGACTGACAGGCTAGAGGCAGGAGACCCCCGGAGGTGAGTGAGTCCCTGTGCCCTTATTGACTAGGGCTGTGGGTGCAGGGACAACAGTGGGTGAGGAGGAGCTGAGGCCCAGAATGATCTTGGAAATGCATCTACCTCCAGCATAACCATCTTCAAATCTCAAAATTTGTTTTTTTAAAAGCAGGATCTTCTTTTCTGGCTATATAAATAATGTTTGCCTTCTTGTAGTAAACAGAAAAGCACAAAGAAGTAAATACCTCCCATTATCTACCACCTAGAGATAACCATTATTCTCATCTCAGCATTCATCTCAGGAATTCTAGGCAATTTTTACTAGTTGAGGCTGTATTTCTTTGATATTTTGTATCCTGATTTTTCTTTCCATATTATAACATGGGCATTTTATGACACCATTAAAAATTATTTCTTAAACATTATGATCATATGTTATAATATTTATTGAACACTGTATGCCTGATGCCTCCAGACACTGGAACTGTGATGGTGAGTAAGGTAGTCCTCTGCAGCAAGGGGACTCATATATATATAATTATAAAACTGATGAGGACTCTGAGAAAAAACACTGGGAGCTCAATGCGAGAACTCTGTTCCAGATTTAGGAGAGGGGTGAGAAGAGTGTCAGGGAGGGCTTCCTAAGGAAGTTGTGTTTGCTCTCTGAAGACTGAGTAGAACAGCACCGCAGCCCACTATGCTGCTCCAAAGAATGACCTGCCCCATTTTGGCTGATGAGTCTTTGTTCTGGGAGATACAAACATGTTTTTAATATGCAAATAGTGTTCCGAGACCAAGGCAGTGCTTTGTAAAGACAGCAGCACAATTTACAGTTCCAGACTGGGCTGCTTATTCTCACAGACTGTGGCAGAGCTCACCATCACAATGTGGGTTCAGGCTGCTACTTCTACTATGGCCCCCTTGCGCGCACACACCTGATGTACTATGAGAACCTTTGAGTGGTGGATCCTGGAAGTGAATGTAGATGCCTCCTTGGTCCTCCTCCCCCAAACCCCCAGAGGTCTCTGCCAATCCCTTGGCCTGAGGCCGCCTCCCCACATTTGTAGCCTGACCCTCTATGTGGAAGTAGCCTGCAATGGGCTCCTAGGGGCCGGGAAGGGCACCATGATCGCAGCCCCTGACCCAGAGAAGATGTTCCAGGTGAGCCGGGCCGAGTTGGCCACCTTCCACCGGGATGTCTACAAGCTCTTGGTGGATCTGGAGCTACTGCTGGGCATAGCCAAGGTACTTGACACCCCCACCCCACCTGTTCACTCACTAGAACTCCAGGCAGGTTGTTTCTTGGGTCAGATAATTGGAAGTCTGGGAATCCAGAGTAGGGAGAGTGTTTCTGCCTGCCCAAGTGTTGAGAGGATTTCTCTGTAAAGGTGGGGGGCAAGACAGTACTGAGCAGGGGTACCAGCAGGGGCAAACAGCTGGAGGTAGGGAAGAGCTCTGCTGAGAACCCCTGGGAGATCAGCCAGGGCCTAGTTCTGGAGACTCTGCTTGCTAGAGATGGGGATTAAGGGGCAGAACCCTGCTGCAGGGCCTCGGGGAGGACAACCAGCGCAGCTTCCAGGCCCTGTATACAGCCAACCAGATGGTGAACGTGTGTGACCCTGCCCAGCCTGAGACCTTTCCGATGGCCCAGGATCTGGCCTCCAGGTTCTTTGGCCAACGTGGAGGTGAAAGCCAACATACTATCCATGCCATGGGGCACTGCCACATTGATACAGGTAGCGGGGCAGCTGGTCGGGTTGGCTGGGGGAGGCAGGAGTGCCCCTGAAGCTCTGGCTGTGCCCTGGAAGCCGTGTGTGATCCTCAGCACATTCTCACCCCTCTTGGGCCTCACTTTTCTCCACCTGTAAAATGGGGCAAGGGGACTGGACTGTGGGATTTGCTAGGTGTGGCTTTATTCTTTTATCAAAATCTGATGCCTCATGTGACCCCATGCTAAATACTGGGGGATAGGATTATAGAGACTGATGATCACAAAATATGCAGACACATTTGCTGCCATCATGGAGGGAAGTATGGGGGCCTGGAGAGCCCAGAAGAGGCACTTAACGTAGTTGGGTTGGGGGTATTCAAGAGAGGCGTTAGGGAGGAAGTGACTGAACTGAGTGAGAATTAGTAAGAGTTCGACAAGGTGCCCAAGTCAGAGAGGAGTGATGTGGAAGTAATTGAGATGGGGGCTCAAGCGCTGGAGAAGGTTTCCTGGGGAGGATCAAGGGTTCAGTTTTGAACCTAATGAGTTTGCAGTGTGTGAGGCTTATGGGAAATCCACATTTTTAACAAGCTCCCCAAGGTATTGAATCTGATACAACTAAAGTTTCTGGACCACAGAGCAAAGGCTTTCTCTGCTATGGCAAGGCAAGGTGTGGGGTGGCAGGTGGGGTCTCTGGGTTCATAAGGAAGGAACTGAGGCCTAGCGGTCAGGAGAAGTTGTAGTACTTCATGCAGGCTGACCAGGCAAGCTCCATCTTGGGAAGCTGTGTCCTCTGTCCTGGAATATCCATCAGTATGTGTTAGGGAAAGGGTTAACCCCTGCTGCTTATAGGATCCTCTCTGGGGTGCCTAAACGTCAGGGAGAGGCTATTCCAGTGCATAGGGCCTCCATTTCCTGACCTGTAAAATTGACCTGGTGGCCTCCTTTCCGCAACCCCTACTCCCACCTTACAGGAGTGGTTTGAAGTGACAGTTCAGGAGGGATGCCACTGGGCTGCAAAAGGAAAGAGGCCTGGGATGAGAGGAGGGCTGGGATGACCCCAGAGGCCCAGGCTGGGCCTAGTTGGCATATAGAGGGACAGGGTTGAAGCTGGAGATCTGTGTGGGGTTGGAGGCCTTTCCATTCTTCATTCACCCTCCATGCCTCTCCCCGCCTAGCCTGGCTCTGGCCCTTCAAGGAGACCGTGCGGAAATGTGCCCGGAGCTGGGTTACAGCTGTGCAGCTCATGGAGCGGAACCCTGAGTTCATCTTTGCCTGCTCCCAGGTCAGAGAGACAGCCATATTGGGGGTACCAGGAGCCCCATAGGTCCAAGAGCAAGGTTCTGAGGGCTTTCCTGGCCTGGGGGGCAGCGCTCTTCCCCACCCTCAGCTGGCCACTGGGCCCTAGATATTCAACCTTGGGTGGGGTCCTTGTCACTCCTGGTGCAGCTCCTGCCCCATCTGCCTCACAGGCACAGCAACTTCAGTGGGTGAAGAACCACTATCCTGGCCTTCATGCCCGGCTCCAGGAGTTCGCCTGCCGTGGCCAGTTTGTGCCTGTGGGGGGCACCTGGGTGGAGATGGTAAGCACAGTCTGCACATCCTCAGCCCCAGGCCACTGTCATGGGCTTCCTTCCTTGGCTTTGTGACTTTCTGCAGGCTCTTTACACCCTTCTGTGGCAGCACTTATTAGTCCCTGGAATTCCAAGTCCTGGAACTCCAAGGGGGAGGAGGGTCTCAAGTACTGTGATGGGCTGTCTGCATGACCCAGCTTCCTCTGGCAGATAGACAGTTGGACCTGATATCTGAAGGTGGACACTTCCTGGGTGATGGCTGTAACCCCTGGGTCAGAGCCCTGGCTTCTCCTGATGGGGCGCGATTGGCCTGAGCTGTTGCCTGTTCCCCATCTGGAACTGACCTTGGCTGTCTCCCTCTTCCCTCACTGCCAGGATGGGAACCTTCCCAGTGGAGAGGCCATGGTGAGGCAGTTCCTGCAGGGCCAGAACTTCTTCCTGCAGGAGTTTGGGAAGATGTGCTCCCAGGTAGGCTAGGAGCTGCTGTGCTTGCGGACAGATAGGGCTAGAGCTTGACCTTGAGTGATCAGGGGCTGAGACTGGGGCTGCTCCACCAAGAGCTCCGGTTCCTGTGCCCCAAAAGCCCTTTTCCTATAGTTCTGGCTGCCAGATACATTTGGCTACTCAGCACAGCTCCCCCAGATCATGCGCAGCTGTGGCATCACGCACTTCCTGACCCAAAAACTGAGCTGGAATTTGGTGAACTCTTT